TTCCTCAGATCCCTCCATCCAGCAGCATTGCTGTGTGGGGACAGTCATTCCTGTGAGCAAACTCAACGATGCCTGAGGATTGCTCCTGCTTGAGCCTGATACTTCTAAAATATCCCTTGTATTCTGGTGTGAAGTCGATGTGTATTTATTGCAGGCCCACCAGCCCCAGGGGGAGCAAAGCTGGTGGCCACTGGGCCCTTTGGAGAAGCCCCGTTAGGGGTTGTTAATTCGGACTTCCATGCATTGTGGGGTCTTCTAGTAACAGCAAAGGTCAATTGGATGTGGGAAAGCTGATCACAAAAAGCCAAGCTTCAGCATACATCGCATGATATTAGAACTTAATAAATTAGAATTTAATTTTGTCCGTGGAAAGCCGAGGAACACCTCTGGGTGGCCTGGCTGCACCGCGCCTGGCTGTGTCTGAATACAGTGGTCAGCAGCCAAGATTGTTAGCAAGATAAGACACAGGACCTGGCCTTGGATGTTGACCAGGACAAATTAATGTATCCTGTTTGGTGCTGGCCACGGCCAGCTGCTGAGTCACAACCCATATCACAGCCTTGACCCGAGCTGACCAGGGCTGCGGACAGATAAGGGGCTAAAAAGCTGCAAGGCAAGTCCTGAGAGAACCTCTGCTTGGTACAAATGTCTGGATGAAGTGTTTGGGGTTCTGGAGGATGAAGCTAACTCCTGGATCTGAGCATCCTCATGCAGCCAGGGGTGTGAGTTTTGGAGCAAGATGGGAAGGTGGTGGCAGTGCTCCCTGCCCACCACGGCCACCGGAGCAGTGAGCAGCTGGGGACCACGTCCTTCCACTGCTCCCCTGCGGGCACACAGCCTCTGCCAGCTGTCCTCACCCCCTTGCCACCCTGGTGAGGACCTGTGTCACCCAAACAAGCTGTGTGTCACCCAAACAAGTGGCAGTGCTGACACCACCAGCCGTTGATGCACAGGCACAAGTGGTTCCTGCGCTGCTCCAGCCGAGCGCCGTGCCAGGCACGCACAGGCTGGTGCCAGGAGGCTGTGCCAGCAGTGGCAGCATTTCACTCAATACACCTTTTGTTTTACTTCCATAACCTCTCATGAACCACGATCCTCAACAAACAAACCCGTACGCAGGTTCCCAGATGTGTAGGACGCAACCACCAACATCCGTGTCACACAGGGTCCCCATCCTGGCTGTGGTGGCATCTCCTGCACGCACAGGGTGGACACGGAGCCACCTGATGTCCTGGGGATGGGAAGAGGCAGCCATCCACTGCTGGCACATGCCTTGGCACTGCCTTGTCCCCATCCCACCACAAATCCCATTGTATTCCAGTCCCACGGCAGGAGTAAGCCAAGGCAATGTTTGGCTGGCACACAGGTCTGGCTGTGGAGGGACCCCCAAGGACACAACCATCACGGAGGGCAGTGGGGCCAGCCCTCTGCCCCGCAGCCTCCTCCTGCAGCCCCTCTCTGTCCTGACATCCTTCACAGCCCCAGCTCCCCAGGAGAGGCTGCAGCACTGTGCTTCCTGGAGCTGGGGGCTCTTAGTCCCAAGGGAGAAAGCAAAGTGCATGAAATTCAGTCAGGCTTTCAGCTCTGAAACATAATCCATTCTGAGAGGGAAAACAAGTAAAGATAGAACAGAAAAAAAAATAAAATAATGAAGGCAAATGGCAGAAAGAAGGATCTTCCCAGCAGAGGAAAAGAAGACAAATGGGAAGACAGGAAAGAGAATGAAGGAAGGAAGAAGCGCAGAGAAGTCGAGGAGAGGCTGGGGGAAGGCTGTGCAATCGTTTGGCACCGGCTCTTTGCATTAGTTCCCTGAAAACGGTGCAAAGCGGGGGCAGAGAGCTGTGCATTGCTGAAGTGTAGCACCACAATACGGTGGGCTGGCCTCTAAATTACCATTCGGAGAGTCTCTTGGCTTAGCCTCACTGCTGCCATGAGGAGGAGAGGGATGTGTGCTGAAAAACAGATCTATGGGGAAGAGGGCTGAGACTAGAAATTCCATTATATTCTTGGCACTTTGACATTTTTCCTCCCCTTTTGTGAAATCTCAAGGGAGCGCTGCCTACTCTTGCAATAATAATAATAAAAAAAAAGGGGTAGTATATGAGTTGGCATGGTAACTTCATCTACTAAGTAACTAACACGTAGGATTTGCTTCTTGATCTAGAATAATAATGTCAACAGCCCCCAGGAAGATGCTTTCTTGTGACTGACTGCCTGTTGCGGGCTGGATTTCGTGCTTTGCTCACGCTCGGTGGCCTTGGTGGGACTCACTACGGCGCAGGGACAGACCTGTGCCACTCTGCCACAGGGGTGAGCGTTGGCTGGCTGCCTCCACTACACCCTTCAGATCAGCACGACTCAATTGATCACGTCCAGGCAGTGGTTTGCAATAATTACTGCTGTTCCTTGGGTTTTCTGAAAGATGTTGAGAGAGGATCAAAGGTCTGAGGACCGAGCAAGCTGTCCCTGGTGTGCCCATGCTCAAGCACTGTGCTCCCTTCGTGCCTTCCTCTGCTGCCTCGGGGGGCTGGGAGAGCTTGGCTGTGCAGGGCAGAGCATGGGGCAGCAGTAGAAACTTGCTGATGCTGCTGTTTTTAAAACACGGGGGGAAAAAAGCATCCTGAAGCTGTATTATGGGTGGGGATTAGCTGCATGGTTGGACTCTGCATCTGCCCGCCCCCTGCTCCTCCACCCAGCCAGCTGCTCCAAGAGAAATGGGTGAGAAAGGCTCCGTGCCCACACACGGGGCTCCCATCAGGAGGGGAGAGCAGGCCCTCAGCCCCAGCAGCATCTGGTCCTTTCCCATCTCCATTCCTACGTCCCCACAGATGGGTCTCCTCCTGGGACAGTGTCCTTCCTGCTGCAGGAGCTGGCCAGCTGCAACCATCCCCATGGGGGTGCAGGGGCAAAGGGGTGGGCAGGGATCATGCAGAGAGTCACGGAAATACAGAATCAGAGAATAACGTTGCTCTCCGTGGCACGGCTGCTCCAGGGAGCTGGCATCTCTGCCTGCTCCTCGTTTTAAATTCCTGCCTTCCTCAGCCTTTCCTTTACACGGGTCCCACGTAGTTTATTTTGGTCCCAATGAACAGACACTGTCACGCTGGTGCAAAGTTGATTTGGATCAGTTTGGCTTGTTTTAAAGGAGCATAAATGTGGCTACGGAGGATCTGACCATAGGCCCATCTAGCGAGCATCCTGTCCCTGAGAGCCATCACGAAGGGATGTGCAGGGAAAAGAACATGAAGAAAGCTTCAGATATTCTCCAGCCCCAACCATTTTCTGCTCAGGGGCTTCCTGAGTTAACTGGGGCGTGTAGTGAGCATGCAGCAATCCCCAGCAGGTTTCTTTTCTAGGAATGTCTCCAGACTCCTCTTGAACGCATCCAAAACATGCAGCAAGGAGTCCCACACAGTCACCTGGTGTCTGAAGATCCCCTTTCTTTTGCTTGTTTTGAAGCTGGGTGCTGTAATCTTTATTTCCTGCCTTTAATTCCTCTACTGGAAGAGATAGAGAATATTTCCTTCAGTCTACAGGAAAAAAAAAAAAAAACACTATTCCAAAAGACAGCTTTCAATGACTGTGTGGCCCGACAAGTGAGCTCTCCTGTTGCAGCAGCCGTGTGATGAAGCGCAGCTCAGCAGAGCCCATCAGGTCGGACAGCAGCAATCCATGCTCTCCGCAGCCTCCGCAGGCTCCATCCCTGTGAGACAAATGAGCACAATCACAGAAGACAGACAGAGCCCTTCCAGGCCTGGGTTTGTCCTCTCCTTCCAACACATCAGCTGCTGCAGTAGGATGTATCTTCCTGCGCTGCTTCCCTCTCTGGCAGCGTTACCCCGCTGTTGGCTCAGAGCAACTGCTCCTTGCAGAGGATGCAGCGGTCCAAGAGCTCGGCACAGCCAGCTCCAGCATCCCCGAGCCACCACGCTCCAGCTCCCAGCCCCACCGAGAAACTGGGGACTGGTTGGGGACCATGTGGCTGAGCCTCACAGTGAGGAGGGGCTTGTCAGTGAGAGCTTTTCCAACCCAAACGCCCCCCTTTCTCTGTGCAGGCATCTTCTAGATGCCAGCGGTGCCTGGGTTAAAGATTTTTGTATCACACAAAGTTATTTAAAGCAGCCGAGTGATAGGCTCCTCAAAGGAAAAATTATAAATGTTAGCACGCATTCCTCAGTGGCACAATAAAAATATGTTGTACTTTAGGTAGCTGTTTTGCCTAGGGGAGTCCCAATAAAATCAATGATCCTTTTTCTTTCTTTAAAGTGAGCAAGATGCTCCAAGGCCCTTTATTTCCTTCACTGATCAGTGACTCAGAAATATTCTTCAGCGCAAATCTCTTCCCCATAGAGCTGCCTTTATCTTTGCTGCCAGTGCTGGAGAAACGGGCTATCAAAAGGGAAAAGCAGTGACTGCATGAATTTTCTTCTTGCTTTATCTGTTCTCTAAAGAAAGTCTGGGGCTAACAGGGTCCCTCCATGCCACGATTCAAAGCAGTGGCCAGGGGAGGCCAACAAAAGGAAGCTTGGCCCTGTTTGCTGAATTATTCCCTAACACAGGGCAGGGAACAGGGCACGGGCAACCCAGCTGTGTCCAAAGCTGAGAGGCGAGTGAGGGATCCTCTGGGGTGGAGATGCAGGGTGTGATCTGTGGTGGGTGATCTGCTGGGTGGGCAACCCATGAAACAGCCCTGCCAAGGGACCCCTTTGTTTCCTCTCAGCAAGAAATCATTATTCTAGGATTATCCTCATCGCATGAGGAACCTGTGAAACAGCACAGTGGGAACCCACAGTGAGCAGCACAGGGCCCCACAGGAAAGTGCTCGTGAGAGCCACGTTATTTCGGGAAGGTGAGAAGTGATACAGAGCAGGTGCAATCCCTTCCCTACTTTACTATCAGTATCACTGAGCGATCCTGAGGGCCATTCGTTTAAGCTGATCTTAATGATAAGAAAACATTGCTGATCAGTCGATGACTTCCAGCTGGAGCATGTGAGCTAACAAAACTCCTTAAAGACTTCCAGAGCCCAGACTGCTGTTTTTTTCCACAGCTGTGTGCAGCATTGTTAAAGCAAACCAACCAGAAGGCATCTGTGGAGCACTGAATTTGTGCTTTGGGAATGCACTGGGGGAAGTGAGCTGTGCCATCCCTCGTTCCCAGGTGGGTGATGCTTCTCTGTCCCCCTGGAGGGGCAGGGAAAGCTGGAGGGAAGGGGCACTGAAGCTGAATGTGGTTGTGTGCAAGCATACAGAGCTACTAACATGTCTTGAGTGAGAGGGCAGCTGGAGCAGGTGGCCTTAGGGTGAGAAGGTGACTCTAGGCTGAGCTGGGATTGGAGATGCTCAGGTTTGTCAGCGCAGTGCTGCAGCAGCACCCTCTGACATGGGAAGCACCCCCACCAGGACAGCCTGAAGCTGGAGGGGTCTGAAGTTATTAGATGAGATGCTGGAAGCTTGCTTTTACTCATTAATCTCCTGGTTTTCTGAGAACGTATGGCTTTTGCACCCCTTGGATTCAAAGTTCCACTACTGGAACTTTGAAGTGCTTCAAAGCCAGGCCTGAGTCTCCTTCCCTAGCTGGCAGGTGGCTGTAGAGGTACTCCTGCAGGTGTGGGGCTGCTGGGTCCTTCATGTCTGACACCAGGCTTCTATACCTGGGCTTTGAGGCCTCCCTTCAAGCAGCTTTTGCTCTAGAGTCTCCAGAACTTATTTTGCTCCCCACCAAATACCTGCAGAGATGTGGCTCTGCAGCACTGCTAGCAGTAAGCCCTGCCCCTAAATGCTCTGTGTGCTTATTTTAGAGTAGGGTCACATCCTCAAGAAGAAGGAAAAAAAAAAACAACCAAACAAAAGAAAACAAACACAGAAACCCAACTTTCTATTTTTCTTTCAATTTATATACGTGCTGCTCAGGCTGCCGCAGCAGACCCATAGCACCAACTCTTTGTTGGTCAGTTCTGGGACCATTTGCAGAGAAACAAGACCTCCTCTTCTGTTTTGTGTTCCCACAGAAAATATTTTTTCTAGGAATTTTCATTACTGCTGTCTATATGTTTACTTTTGAGTTTATTTCAGAGTAAACTCTTCTACTCTTGCTGAAGCCAATATTTTGCCAGAGATGCTCAAAATGTTCTGTGAATGAGCCCAAGGAACAGATTTCCTGGCTGATACAAACTGGCAAGGCTCCTCCAAAGTCAGGAGATATTAAGAGACAATAATTTTGGATTGCTATTAAAAAGCTTACAAGTCTGTAAACTACTGCATGAAGTTGTCTAGCAATGTTACCCCCTGAAGTTATATAAGCCTCCAGTAGAAATTGCTTTAACACTTGTATCCCTTTCTTTTCCAATGCTGTACCATGCAGCACAAATCAAAGTAGCTTTAATGCACTGTTTTGATCTCAGAAAGGTGGCTTTTTAAGATTACTTTTAATGTGTTGTTTTTCTTGTTTGTTTATTTTTGTTTTTAAATAAAATGAAGTCTTTCTGACTACGTGGGTTAAGCAGCTGTGTGAACAGCTGAGACCCTTTTTGTAGCAGCATCTCTGGTGAGTGTCATGAGATGGGATACAGGTCTGGGACATGCCAAAGCCCAAAAATCTATAATGAAGAGGCTATAACAAGCCAGAAAAATAAAACAGTGTCTAAGGGTTTTGTTCAAACTGTGGGGATCGTGATATTTGAGATCTTTTTGGTCCTGGTGCTCCTGGTAAGTTTCAATCTGCCCTTTGGTCATCCTTACATGCCTCACCTGCCAGGTCCGGCAGGCAGAGCTTGTTCCTTCCAGCCAGCTTTGTAATGACCCAATTCTTTTAATTTTCATGAAGTGTTCCCTTATAAAATCACTGCTATTGTTGCTGTAAGGATCACACTGGGCTGATTTTCATTGGGGTTCGCCTATAATGGGGTTGGTTTAGAGGTCCCGTTGTCCAGCTTTTGTAGGATGTACCCATGAGAGTTCTCCCCGGTGCTGTTTGCACAGCAGTGGAGTACTTACACACTCCAAAATCTCAGCAGCTTTTGTTATTTTACTCTGAACATCTGCTGTAGGCATTCTCAATAAAAGCTATTTAATAGCTGTTGGCTAGACTCACCTCTCCTCTAAGGCTCTGACCTATGCCTATTGCACTATTGCTGAAGAGCTGTAGCTGTGCCTTGGGGGTGCTGGACTCTCTGCTGATCTAGCCAAAAAAAAATAGCGCTGCCCTCTATACTGTGAATGAAGCCAGCAGATCTAGGAAAGTTGCTGCCTGGGTGAGTAAATGCATCAGAAATCCTCAAGGAATCCTGTTTTTAGGAAATCTGAGGACATACTGTATTTTTTCCCCCTCCTTTCTGGTTTTAAGATGTTAGCTCCTAACTGGCTTAACCTAGGTTGCATGCATGCTGTTACACCCTGTTTGTCATTCAGGAGATAGAAGTTATTAGATAAGCCCAGACTACTGCCCATGTAGTCCAAATCTGGAACTAGTAGACATGAAAAAGACTGGTTCTTTCAGAGAAGTATTGATTCCAGCTCAGAGAAGGAGAAACATTTGATTCTTATGCCCACTGAGCATTTCTCTCTTCATGAATGGAGACCACATTTGGTGGCTGGATGATTTCTCTAGATGTATGCAGAGGTCTATGAAATCATGTGAGGCAGTGGAAGAGTTGATTGCAGGATGACCATACCCTTCTCTTAGCACAAGAACTAAAGATTATCAGGTGTAATTATCAGGAGGCTGGAACTTTCCCCCTGCCACACAGTTCTGCTGTGAGTTGCATTGCTGGGGGATGTTGTAGGTGATGGAAGTTTATGACGGTTCAGAGTGAGTAGATAGCCATGGAAAATGAAATTCCATCGATGTTGGTTAAACAGTGACCCAGTTTGCTCTAAACCTGGAGAATATCTACCATAGAAAGTCTTCGTCTGCCCTGTGAAAGACTTCCTAAAAGCTAATAACGCATGATGGTTGCTGTTCTTCAATTTGTTTAAATGATGTGGAAAACACAGTCAATGCAAGAACAGAACAAAACCCAAGTTGCACTGAAAGCCTGTTCTTGACAGTGCTGTGGGCTCTGTTTTGAGGAAAGAAATGCCTTGAAACAGGCAACTGCATGCTTCCATCACAGTTGTTATAGTAGCTTAAATCTTTGTACGGAGAAAATTCTGAACATATTTTTCCCATATTTAGGGGTAGATTCCTTTCCCAGGCTCAGCTGTGGAGATGTAGTCATGTTCTGAAGCTTTCTTGACAGAGCTGCTGGAAGAAAGAAGGAATTTTATCCTGGTGTGTTTCTCTGTGAACCTTTCTTTGCTGGAAATTGCTTTGAAACCCTCTGAGGTTGCTTGTGAAGAATACCAAATCCCATCTTTGTGCTGATAAAGGTGAGTTTTGTTTCAAGTGACATCTATTCAACATAATAAGTAAAAGGTCTAAGTAATATTTGCTTTGTCCTTCACAGCCAGAAAGTTATTTCTGTGTCAGTTTTGATTGAGTCACTGCAGTTGCAGCCGGTTCACGTGTGGGTCTCTGAGGTCTGGCAGTGCTCTCATGTAGCTTTTTGTGCTTGCCACCTCACGCTCCTGGGCAAACCTGTCAATAATGCTCAGCTCTTCTCACGCTGATCTCTTGCAGGTTCAGTTGGATGCACATTTTTCATCAGTGTTTTTTCTCCTATCTATTAATAGTGAGGACATTTGGAGCAGCCTGCTTATTTTCATGAGGGCTCCTCCTATGTTATTTTGACATAATTTTTGTCTTTTACCTCCTGTCCTCAGGAAATCATAAGGCTCTGTAGTATTCACATGTGTGTGCCTGGCATACATTACCAAGAACTGTTTCCTACGTGGATAAGTGGTTTGAGGGCTGAAGTTCAAGTTTTCTTGCATGTGCTAGAAGGGTTTTGCTTGCTTGTCTTTTTAATAAAACTACTTGGAAAGGGAGGAGGGGGGAATATTTGCATTCCTGGCAATATTATCTAGAGAGGCCTTGTATGCTCACACAAGCTCTTTATAATTATGAGAAACTTCACCTGGTAATGTTTCACTTCTAATATTTCTTGGGGAGAATGGTAAGAATTATCTTTTTTTAACATAAAATGACTTGTTGGCAAAGTTCCTGTCTTTATTTCACAAAACATTTCCTTGTGGTTCAGTGATGTTCCTTATTTCATCCTTACCTATCTGTACCTGCACAGTCACCCTGCCTGTGAAAGGTTCAGTATGACCTCGCTGTAACAATGTGTTTGAGGACATGGTAGCACCTGCCTCTATCTTCATTGCACCCTTTTTGTTTATGGATAGTGCTGGGTGGTTTTCAACAGCATAATCCATGTCAAGAATCTTGCATCTATTTCTGGTCTCTCCTTGCATGGTGTCCCTCAAACACAGGGACCTCCTCCTCCAGCCAGGGTTCATTACTTTCTTGTTCTTTTGTTTGGTGCCTGCCCCTGGCTGTCTGCACTCACTCATGCTGAGCATACCAGTGCTCTCTCCATCTCTCCTCTGACCTGAGCTGATTTTCCAGCTGGTGTCTCCATAGGCACATTCTGGAAACCTGTCTCTAATGAATTGATTGATCCGGGCTTGCTCTTCAACATCCTGACTTCTGGCTAAGACAGTTTGGCCAAGACCAGCCAGTAGAGGACCACCAAGTAGTCAAAAGGTCAGAATAGCCATCAATGTGCTGCTTTCTCTGACTGAGAAATATCTTCTGATGGGTCAAGTTATCAGCCTTGCCCTCCATCTAAGAGGCTCCAATCCTCCTCTCCATTTCTAGAGCCGAGAAACCAGTTCTGGTAGGGCTGTATGCTTCCATCTCCCAGATGCCTGTCACTGTCAAGGCCAGAGGTCCCCATGGCCCTGTGTGCTCCAAGCAGGTGGATGGTGAGGCTGTCCTGCAAGGGGAAGTCACACGTGCTCCTTTCTCCTATGGCAGGAGGAAGAAATAGCAAAGAATGTAGAAAGCTAAGGAGAAATGGGCGCTCAGTCAACTTCTTTGTTGTGTGAGAATGTTTTTTTTTTTTTTAAAAAAAAAAAATATTGTTTTGTTTCTCTCTTTTTTTTTTCTTTTTTACATTAGCAATTCATGTCTTGTCTACCCTGTTTGTTTTTTCTTCACCGGAGAACTAATAGTATTATGACAGTGCAAGTAAAAGCTGACGAATTTCGAGTAGAATTGCTTTTCCTACAAAATGTTTTAAGCAGTCTGTATTTAGCTAACATTTATCTAACTCCACTCCTAACCAACAGTTGGAAGAGAGAAATCTTTGCAGTTCAACACCTCCTCCTCTCCCCTTTTCACTAGAAGCTGCAAAACCTCCCACTCTGCTTCTCTAGATCTTCCGAGTAGACCTCTGCCAAAACACAACTTGATGTTTGGTATTTTTTATATAAGAAAAAGCAGAAAACAAAACACATCCAGCCTCTCATACACAAAGAATCAGAACAGGGCATGAGTCCAACTTGTCTCCCTTCCCATATTTCCTGATCATCTCCTCTCGCAGAGGCAACCAAGGCCCTCTGCCACGTGCTCTGCCCACCAACCTCGCTACATCTCTGTGGCAGGAGCAATATCAAGGCCATCTCCTATATCATCCTGTTCTACAAGGCAGGCACCAAAACGGGGACTTTCCCAAGCCCCTGAGCATTTGGCAGCAAATGAGATCTTGTCTTTGACAGCTCAGAATAAACTCCCCAGTGATGCCACCAGCTCACAGTAAGGACATTGTGTCTGCCTTGTAGTTATTTCTTCATCCATTAACTGTTTCTCATGCAGTTTGTAGGTGTGGAAGCTTTTCTCCAAAGCAGAGCATGGCCAGGCTTCCCAAGGCTTCGGCCAGGAGGTGGCAGGCAGAGGGCATCTGCTCCACAGTCACCTGCCAGCACTGGGGAGAGGCTGTGTTGGAGCAAAACAGGCTGTGCCCAGGCCTTGGAAAATGGGCTTCTCACCCCTCTGTGGGCCAAGTCAGCACAAAGAAAACAGAGCAGGCTCCATGCCCAGGCTTTTGGCCAACCCGTGGGCGAGGTCCAGTCTGGGACAATTGAAGGAGCCCTGTGCAATTAGCTCCTGGCTGGCATGAGGTGATGCCTGCGCCAGGGTCACCAGGCACTCTTAGAGCACCAGATTGTACACATGCCACGTTAGAGCTGGTGGAAGGGAAGCAACAATACTAGAGATTATTTTGCTTATTTTATCTTGTCTAGAAACTCTCTTCCCTGAAGCCTTCTGACCAGCTGGGAAACTTCACTGCAATCTCCTAACCACTGACAGCAGCCAGGCTTTCTTCCTTCTTACCACGTGGGGAAGTTAAATCCTGCCCACACTGACCTGCAGGTAATATCAACAGCAGCACAGAGGCCCTCCAAGCACCCCTTTTCCAATGGGATGCTTTTCCTGTGAGACCACCTCTTTCCAGCCTTTGCCAGCCACAGAAGAGCAGCAGCTCTGGCATCTCAGGCTGCACAACTGGCACTGCTCAGCCAAATCTGCGTGGATGGTCCCAGACAACTCAAAGCTGTTTGGTGTGGTAGGTGGGCTCACCTCCTCCTTGGCTTCAGCTGCTGTATATTCTGAAGCATGTCTTATGAGGCCTTTTTGTGTGAGAAACTTAAGATGTACACCTATGGATTGGCCTTGTAATCTCCTTATCGTGACCATCTCCTTATAGGGCCTCTGCCACTGTAGTTTGGCTGCTGGTTGAGAAATAAAGTTCTTCCAGTTATTCCATAAAGAAATGGCTCGAGTCCATCAAACTCCCATGACAGTTTCTCTTCCTATGCTGCAAAGCAAAATGAAAGCTTCAGCGTGTGGTGAGCAAGGGAATGCAGAGTCCTGGTGTGTCCATGAACTGAGCGTGTGCCCACATCACAGTGCTCCTACTGCTAGAAAATGAGATCGGTGTTTTCTGCTCTTGGAAGCCCACAGTCCCACCACGTCAAACCTGTTTCAAGCCTGACTTCTCCTGCAACATCCCTGTGACCAGCGGTGCAACCTGCTGAATGTGCCACGTTTCCCAAGACTGTCTCAGGACAACCTGTATCCCACTCCAGGGTTTTCAGGCTGAACAAACAGATCTCGCCAGAAATTTTGCCACGTTAGAAAGCACAGGCAAAAATTCTCCCAATTATTAACAGCTTACACCAGGTTAGGACTCTTGTGCCTCATCGTGAAGGTGGATGAAACAGCCTCTCTCCCCAGATGTTTTCTCCAAAGCTCCAGTTTGCAGGTCAGAGGTTACAGAGTAGGTGGTGGCTGCTGCCTTCCTGAGCTGCCTGTTCTTTGGAAATCATCCTGGTAACTACGTTATAAAGAAAGTCCTCCAGAATTGGAACATTGTTCCGTCCTATCTAATATTTTTGTGGCTTGTGAAGAAAGCCTTGACAGCTCGCAGATGTAGATGCTGGGAGAAGGGTAACTCACAAAGAGGAGCTGGAGCCCCTTGGTACATTAGGTTGAAGAAAGTAGATTGGTTGTGTCAGTGCAGCCAAATTGAACGATCCTCAGCCAGAAATGAGAAGTGGGGGCAAGGCTCATTGTGTGGGAGGGGGGATCATGAAAGCCAGTGCTTCTGAAAGCTGCTGGAGAGACAGAGGGGGAGGCCTGGTGGACGGTAAGATGAGGGGGTGTGGGGGCACACTGTGCTGATGGCTGAGAGCTCATACAGTTCCCTGGTGCATAAAGCAGGGAGTGGGTGGGAGCAGGGAGAGTGCATTACCTGTGTTTGGCATTGCAGCTGCTGTTAGGATGCTTTATTCAGCCCCCATGTGCCAAGGTTTCCTCCTTTGTCCTACTTATCTGGGGAGGGGGAGAGGGGAGTAATGAGGAAAGGTGGGAAACTGAGCCTCATGTATGGCTGGGACCCCCACCTAATATTAGGCACCAAAACAGGGTCTCAAGGCTGTCTTTGTACAGCTGGTTAAGAGACAGGTCCCTCCAGGGGCAGCTCAGCCCCTGGGGGGTGCAGGGCAGGTAGGGCTCTGGCTGGGGCACCCTGCTGAGCACCTCCCGGGGTGGTTAAGGGGAGACGGCATCGCACGCCCACAGACATTCGCCAGGGAGAGGCGCTTGGTGGGGGAGCTGATGGATGAGTGCATGCCTACATGAGTCCATTTGCCCTTGCTGCACTGTGAATTGCATGGCCATTAACCTTTGCACTGTTAACTGCCTCGCATCCATCCTAATTACCAGTGGGAGCAGTGATGGTGCCTTACAGAAGCAATCTGCACAATTGGTCAGGAGCACACAGCTGGTGTGCATGAGATCCAGCCTGAAATCAGAAAGAAAATGTGATTCCCTTCTAAAGCAAAATCCTGCCTTCAAGGGCAGACAGAGCTAGAAAGCTCTGAAAGAGAAGGCAGCCCCAGGCAGCAGGATGCCTGGTTATGGTGGGGATTTTCCACGTGGGGGTGCAAACGCCTGCTCTGCCAGCAGTGGGACATGGGTTTGTCACAGAGCTGCTCTGTGATTTATGGGAAAACCTGCCCTGGACTGCAGGAGAAACTCCCCAACAAACTTTAGGAGCCACGGCTGGCGGTGGAGCACTCACCCCAAGTGCCCAGTCAGGTTTTGATTGTATGGTTTTTAAATGGGTAGCTCAGATTCTCCCCTTCCCCTCTAGTAGGGTGATGAACTGTGAAGCCTGCATGGTATAGAGACAGAAGGAGGGAGGGAAACTTCTGGCTCATTACCCTGGTGACTTTTTCTTTCAAACACAAACACAGAAGAAACAAGCAATTTCAAGCGGAAAATGCCATTTAGATGCTTTTTGTCAGAAATTCTGATGTAAAGATTTGAACTACTTTATTTTTTTATTTTTTTTATTTTTTCCAGCTGGACCTGTTGGCTGACCTCAGCGTGGTTTTGTTTGGAGCAGCACAACGTGCCAAGCCTCCAATTCACCGAGCACTGCTTTTCCGACCCGCCCTGATTAACCTGCCCCGTACAAGTGGCCGATGAGGACGGGGAGCGGAGCTGCTCCGGGACGATGGGGACGGGTGTGCAGCAAGCCAGGGCAGGCAGCCAGCACGGGCGGCTGCTGTTCAGGATGACAGAAGAGGGAGAGCGAGTGCCACAGCTCGCGTTCATCATCGATTGGTGACCTCCAAGGGAGGGCGAGGACAGAGCCAGCTGAGCTCTGCGCTTAGGTTAGCGAGGCTCCAAGTAAGACTCGAGTGAAATTCAGTGTTGACAGAGGCTAACTAATGGGTCTTCAGAAGATTAATTCGCAACGCTTATATTTTATTGAGCTTCCCAATTAGCTGTGACGGCCCAAGGAGCAAACAACCTGGCAGGCTGCTGCAGAGAGCTGGCTCCCCGAGCAGGAGTGACAAGGACGCGGCGAGCAGGGTGCTGGACTGCTGAGATGTGGAAAATGAGGCTGACAAAATGCCATGCTGCAGGATTTGTAATAGAGCGGGTCTGTGATCCTTAGTCACCAGCTGGGGAGGGAGACAAATGCACCTAGGATTTGTTCCTAGCCTGGTGTGGCTGAGAAAGGCAGAAAGCAGATGAGATGTTTCTGCTGCCCATCAGGGCTAGGGGTGCTTGGAAGCAGCCAGACCTGCTGGTGGGGTGCAGCACCAGGCAGCTGAAGCTGATATTCCCATGGCATCCATCCTTTCCACATCCTCCATGGACACCCTGGCAGCCCAATCAGATCCTACGCCTCCCACAGAAGGGGGCAGGAGCATCCAGTTGGGGACTGAGGATGGAGGGAGGCAGGGTGGCAGCAGCCCCCTTCAGGCAGCTATAAGCTGCCATGGAAAACAGCACCTCTGGCAAACGGGAGGAAGAAAGCTGCTCTTTTGTTGTTGCTGTTGCCTGTTTTGTTCTTCCATGCTTGACAAAGCTAGGCTTTGTACTCATTCACTGTAAGTAAACAGAATTGCACCTGGGACACATCTGAATTAGATTCTCAATTTTTCCAGTGAAGAAACAACCTTATGAATTCCTGACTATTAGCTAATGGCTCCTTCCAAGAGAGTAAGAGTATAACAGTGCTATTAAATAATGTGCTTTCAATGTTTGCCTTCAATTGTGAGCGCAGCTCCATGACCACGCTTCCTGCAGCTCAGCCAGGCACCTGGAGGTAAAGGAGGGAACCCCAGGCTCTGCCTCACCCCAGGTTTCCCTCTACATTTGGGTGCCTGTGGGCTTCAGCAGAGGCAGGTGATGTCTCTAGAGGTGCTGAGGGTCTGTGCTTGGAGACTGCCCCGTTTCCCTGCCTTGGAAGAGATAGGTGAAGAGGTGTCAGGACTGCAAAGCATCAGGGCAGGCAATAGATGTGAATGCCATTCTGTACAGAGACAGCAAATTAGAAAACAATTAACCTTATGTAATTAGGCTCCAAGCAGTACACTTCTCTAGCTCTCTCCTGATAACTGCTTGGGGACCTCAGCTGCTTGGTTTCTAACACTCATGACCCAAGGCCCTTCTGTGCATGGGAGCAGATTGCTCGTATGGTGGCTTGTGCCTTATGACCGCAGGTTGCCGAAACAATTTCTTCCTAAAACTAGGCTGTGAAGATGCTTCTGCTCTGCACATTTAGCTGTCCACTTCAATCATTAGTGCACAAATAACTTCAGGTGCACAGTCCGACAAATCAGTCTAAACAAAGGATTAATCCATAGTGTTTGGGTTTATTTTGTTTCTTTTTATTTTTTATTCATTTTTTTTTATTATTTTATTTTATTATTTTTTATTATTTTATTTTTCTTCAGTCTCCTGACATTGTGCACTCACTTTTACAGGAATGTGATGGGCCTTTTAAAATATGCATGGCAGAAGTAGAACAAAGCCGTATGACTTGTGCGCAGGCAAGGCTGATTCAAATAATTCCTGAGGTAAATCAAGCTTGTGAAATTCAAGGTTTCGTAAAAAAAAAAAAAAAAAAAAAAAAAAAAAAAAAAAAAAAAAAAAATTGGCTGAGTTTGCAAACAGTGTAGTTAGCTTTAAAAAGACTTGAGGGTTTTTTGGTCATCAAAATAGCGCAACCAGATGGCAATAGACTATTTTTGAACTTCAGTTACATAATTTTGCTAAATGTTTTTCTTCCCTCTGTAATTTGAAATTATCCGTAACTCAGGCTGCGCTGCTGCTGTGTGTGGGGGACTCCTGATATAAAGATGTTCACAACATGCTGCCCGAGTCAGGGAGGGGAGAGGCGCCAGGAGCCGCGGTGGCCCCAACCTGTCAGTGGTCCCAGGCACAGCAAGCGATGGACCAGGTCCATGCAGGGTGTGGTGGGGGTCCCTGGAGAGGCAGGTCACAGCCAGGAAGGTGCTTGGGTGCCCAGGGAGAAGGTGCACGGACCATAAAAGCAATGCCTGGGAGAAGAGGAGATGATGTCCATGTAGTTAAGAAGGGTCCTAAGTGGTCTTATGCAAAAGGACCATAAATGCTTTAGGGAAAAGGAGTGAGGTGTTTGTCCTCCCCACACCATGCTGCCACACCAGAACATGGTGTTGTTTGGAAGAAAAAGTCTTAAGTGACCGCTGCCATCACTTGAACGGTGAGAGGGGAAGATACCAGTCCTTCTCAGCTCTGAAGTGACACAACTGTAAAACTCCATCTGAAGCACGACTGGCATGAGGGCCTGCTGACAAGCCAGAAATCATGCTGCTCTGAAAACAGTGAAAATGGGTTTAATTGGGCTTTTCTCCTCCTTGGGAGACCTCAAAGAGCTTTATGAAAGAGGTCAATGTTTATTCTTCTTGTTTCAGCCTTCAGCATAACTAGAACTGAAAAGCCATTCAGGTAAGGAGAGTTTTCCTTTTTCCAGTGTGTGGTGTTTGGGTTTGTTTGTTTGTTTGTTTTCCATCTTCCCTGCTTCCTTGGGGCATTTGAGTACCAGCGTGGTTTTTCCTATCCTGAGGACACTTGTGGATCTGCAGAGGAAGTGAAAACTAAATTACGATTTACAGGAGTTTAAAACAGATTCTAAGGCACGCCAGTGAAAAGATGATTTCTGAAATACCAATTTTGGTTTTAATTCAAAAAAAATCTGGTTGTTAGCTTCCTATTACACCATGAAAATAACTACAACTCCGGATAATGCAAATAAAATTTGTATCTGCTTTTTCCTCTTCTTAGTAATACTCTCCTGTTGAGTAGGCCATATGCATGCACTTGTCATGTGTCCCCAGTTGTGCTGTACATTCATCATGTAGAACAGCAAATAGCTTCCAGCACCATGCCAAGCTGAAAAAATGACAATAGACAATTTTCCACCAGAAAACTCAAATTTTTGTCAGCAATATTTTTGAAAAGATACTATTTTAATAGTCTAACTGATATCACTAGGATGGAATTGCAAAGGGTGCAGGATGGTTCAGAAAACCTTGTATTCAATTTTTATTTTTTTTTAATACCAAAATGAATGTCCTAAAAATGTTTCTTAAAAATTTGACTCAAAATTTTGACTGAAATCGTTCTTGAGATTTTAAAATAGGGCATTTGTTATGAAGCAGATGTCTGGTTAATTGCCAACTACTGACAAGCTCTCTTCCCTAGGTGGCCCAGTTCTGACCTCCTCACACCACAGACCATGCTGACAATGATCACCCTGCTGACAGTGATCACCCTGCAACAACTCCTGGGTCAAGTCCATACAAACCCCATCAGTCTTTGGATTAGTGAGATCAGGGCCTCCTTCCAGGTATGGGCCCAGTCTTGATTTCTCCATTTCTGTGGTCTTCCTCCAAGATTTCCATTACCTCCCATGTACTTGTGAGTCTAGCCCTGGCTCTAGTGTTCCTGAGTGATCTACATGGTGGAAAAACCTTGATGTGGCCAAGAGGCCAGGACACCGGCCATGTGCCATGAAGAGCAAGGAGGGGATGCTCCCACAGTTATTTGCAGCAGATGAGAATGCCTTTCTATTTATTTTTCTTTTCCAGTGTCCCAAAATAAATGTGTCCATAAGTGAGTATTTCTCAGTGTAGTGTCACTAGTGTCACTCAAGTGAAGAAGAAAGTGAAGAAGAATGGGTGGCTCAAACCAGTCTGCATTGCTCAAAAGAATAACAAAAAATGATTTTTGCAGATTGCTCTGATTTTGATGCTTTTTTAAAATATTTTGATTTGGGATCAAAGTGGGGAAAAAAAAAATCAGGTATTTGTACAGCCCTAATTCGAGCTCTGTGGAGTGCAGTGTTGGCTCAGTCTACTGGAAATAGAGACGATTCACCAAGCCGCAAATGTCTCATTGTTGAAATCTCCCCCCAGCATGTCTCTGCTGTTGCCCACAGTGTAACGTTACCCCACACCACACATCCTGTATAGATTTGCTGGGTCTCTCTAGGGTTTGTGCCTTCTCAGCATCTGTGAGACTACTGAGTCTGAACTAGTTGGTCTGCTTTTACATTTGAATCTTGAGCAGTACATGAGATTGGGGTGCATGGTACAGTAAAAGTGCAGCTGTGAAAACCTCACCTGGACTTCTAGATCTGTCTTCCCTTCCACCTCTTTCTGCCTGGCCACAGCTTGCTGCCAGCTCTTATACACATCACCTGTGCATTAAATCTCACTGTAAGAGAGCCAGCGCTGGGAGGAGGGGTGGGTGTTTTGTACTTGGTGTGACAGTGTACTGCACTTTACTAGGATCCTGGGTGTTTATTCAAGCTTTATAATGTTTGGGAGACAGATGGGATATAGGCTGCAATCTAGCTGTTCTAGCTCACGGAGCAGGATTAAATGAACCTGGGCTTGAAAGGTGAATCCAGGACACAAGGAAGGAGTAAGAACCCTGGAGGCATTTTTTGCTTCCAGGTATTTGAACAATATCCTCTAGAAAGGAGATGGTTACACCTTAATCCACTGCTGACATCTCCTCTGTTGCAGGACCAGATGAAGCAGTGTGCTTTGCTGCTTTTCCCTGCTTGTTTGACTGACTTTGAAGCTGACAAGAAGACATGCTCATGTCTCCTCCTGGCACTTACTAAGAGTGCTTCACCCCCACCCATCACACTGAGCCTGGGCGTTCCTCCTGCTTCGTTTTATACCACAAGTAGCCCACAGCCTTAAGCCAAAATTACAGGGCTTGTGATTACAGCAGAAAATTTAGAATAAGAAAAAAAAAAAAAAAATCTAAACCCTACATCTGCTCCAGAAACTGTTTGTGGCTGGAGGAAATCATGCCTGCCCTATAGATCTGCCTCTATCTCTGTCCTTGAGGATGTGGTGAAACCTGGTTTATTTGTGCTCACTCCTGATGCTTGCACTCTGTGAATCCAGCTTATGTCAGCTCATGCCTTCTAGTTTCTTAGCCGTAGCTGGCCCACAAAGCCAACAAAAGTCTCTAAACCAGTGTTGCCTTGTGCACGGTGCCTACCCTGCTGGGTCCCAGCTTCGAAAAGGGCTTCTATGAGGTGAGTCTTCTGTGCGTGTATCCTTGTGGGACTCATTAGTGCTGTGTGAGAAAGAAGTAGTGAGGACACAGGGATCTCCAACAACATGGAAGGACGTCATACTCAGGCTGTTGGGCTTGACGAACCTGGGAGATGACGTGGATGAGATTGCAGCCAAAGCAGCGGGGCACCAGTGAACAAGAGCTCGGCCCACCATCCATGACCATCTCAGGGAGCAGAAGTAGCTGCACAAATTACATGGAATAAGCACATGCCACATATGAGATTCAGTCGTGGCGTGTGAAATAAGTGGGTAGGAGCATATTTAGGTAAAGCAGGATTTAGGTAAGGCAGGGTGGTGGCTCGGGGCCATGGCTTAGGCTGCAGGGGAGCTGGAAGGCGCCAGTGCCAGGCCCTGGGGCAACACATGGGGCACGTTCAGCAGCACTGCACAGACATAAAACTCTCAAGTCCAGTAATAAGCACACATACAACTTCGTCAGCATGCTGCATATGTGTTTTTCTGTGCTTGGTGGTTATGAAGCAGCCTGCCATGAACACGCCGTAGCATGTGTCTGCAGAAGATGCCCCAAGGTTATTCTCCAGAAGGGATGGGGTGTTTGCAAAAGTGGATAACCCATTCGTCGGAGCCTAACGAAGGTGGGAGCTGCTAATTATCTTCAGGAGAGCAGCTTCAGAAGTGTGCTGGCTGCTTGTTAACAGGGTGCAGAGTCTTTCTCCTCCAGGCCAGAAAGTTGTTTCTGTCTAGTGAATATGGATCTGCTGGATCTGCTTTCAAGCCAACACCTCACAAAAGTGCTATTTTCTGAGCTCACTGGCATGCTCAGGGCTTGCCTGTTTGGAGTAACTTGGGGCTGTTTTTTCCATGGTAGGTATTTGTTTTTATGCAAGATGGATTTTATTCTGAATACCCTTTTCTGTTCTAGTGTAACACACACTTCGGAGGAGTTGAGGTATTTAAGAATGAGGATTGCAGGTAAAATCAGCCCCACACTTGAAAGTGATTTGCCTGTCAAGTGCAGGCATGGCCCAAGCAGACAGGCCTGGGGACTACAGAGCCTCTGGAGACAGTTACCCCAGTTGGGTCGGGGGTGCTGCAAGTCAGACATAACTGGAGGGGTTCATTCCCAGGGAAGGTGAAGGAGAAGCCTTTCACCAGCTGAAGGGCTATGCCATGTTTTTCAGAAGCCCATGTTTAGGTGTGGTAGGGCCTGCTAATGAGCAAGGGACCTCATTGCAGTATTTTTCTGAAGCAGTTGTGGGTAGAGCATGGCTGTTTGCTCCTTCTTCCCTCTCCCTGGTCTCAAAGACCACCACCCGGTCCATCACCCAGGTGCTCTGGGACAGCAACAAGCCTGTAGCAGACCTGGCCTCCAGTGAGACAGCCATGGCTGGAGTCCTGTGCAGGCCCCGTGGCTGAGAGCTGGGACTGGGCCTCCTCCAGCAGACACACAGACAGCCTTCGGCTCCTCTGTGTTGATGGCTTTTCTATTTTTACCAGGGAGAGGTTCATATTTTTTTTTCCTGGTGCTGTTTAGACCTCTAAGTGACAAAACTGCTTATTTTCCAGCTGTGAGAGGCGACTGCCTCCGGTCTGGAGCAGAGGTGTGTGTGGCAGCAGCAGTCTCTGTAAGGTCAGCAGAAAAACAGCAAGAAACCAAGCTGCATCGTGAAGGTGATGGCTGAGTAGGGGCTTAAACTTACCCTATTACATTTGCTTCCCCCTCCAAAACACAGGTGTCCGTACTGCAGTCAGTCAGTCCTTCATGGAGAACAATGGCCAGAAAGCAGCAAAGATCTGCAGCCCCGTGTCAACAGGAACAAACATAAAGCCCTGCTCATTTTCTTTCCTGGCCTCAGCTGCTATCTTTAGTTTCCTGTGCTCCCAGCTTGACTTTCTGAGCAGCTCCTTGGGGAACCTACAGGCACAGGGGACACCTATGATCAATATTAATGTCCCAGGAGGTTGCTGGGTCCTCGTTAGAGGAAGCGGTGAGCGCTGATAATGTTCTCACAGCTACACTGATGTCTGATCTTTCATCGCTCCATCAGCAACACCTCCCACCCCGTCTGAGTTTGGTGTCCTGGAGAATAGTGTGCTTAAAGGTGAGGTCAAGTTAATCTCGAGAGGTGCTAAAAGAAAAAGCGAGGGCAGGCTGGCAGCCAGGAGAGGGAAAATTGGCCCCATTGTTAAGGGAAGAAAAGAACATCAGAGGGCTTTTTAAAATGTCAAGAGTGGAGTATTGCTGTGTGCTCTTTGCTTACTGAGTGGAGTTTGAGGGAGGTTTGCCTTAAATATACCTTCCATACAAATATACAGAAACATGTTTTTTAGTGAACTTTAAACATTAGCTATAATAGTCTTTGGATAAAAAGGCAGTCATTATTTCTTCGAGCACACTCTCTACTGCCGAGCAAATGTTCCGTGTGGCAGGATGGTGGCTTTAAAAATAGCTGTTCACTCCAGAGCCTCCCAGTGTGGCTGGGAGGGAAATGAAACGTTCAATGTGAGCAGTCATTGATGTGGTCCAAGAGCCGCAGCCGGCAAACCCTCGTTTCACTGAAGCCAGTGGAAATACTAGGCAGTGGGAAAGGCGTTCAGAAAAAGAGAAGGTCTGAGTGTCTTTGGGAAGCTCGGAGCCTTGGGAGCTATTTTTAAAAGTCGTAATTTCCTGAGCTGTTGGAGAAAACTGACACCCACCAGCAAAATCAGAGAAAACTGGGCTGGAAGGGGCAGTGACAGCTTGTTATTTTGGGTGGCATACCTGTGCCGTCTCTCCAGGTACTTGAACTACCTCTTCTTAAATGTCCAGAGGCAAAGACCTGTGTGCCTCAGCTCAGGGCTCCAGTTCTTTCCTGCTTCTACAAACAAAAACCTCTGCTTGGTTTGTCAGAATCTCCTTCACTGTAACTTAAGCACATTATTTTTTGCCTACCCACGGTAGAAATAAAGATGTATTTCTTCTTTTTTTCTTGATAACGTTCTTGAATTTATCCTCCCTTCTCTAGTCAGAACAGAGCCTCTTCTTCTGCATGCCTCTCCTTTCCTTCATGTGGGATTTTGAATTTGTCAGTACTGATTTTCATCCTACCTTTTTTCAGGACATGTCTCCAATTTTTTGAGAGTATTTTGTATTCAGTTATGGTCCAACATGGAGCAGCTTGCCCCATGTTAGAGTTATCTGTGAATCTAATGTGTATTTTCTATACCAGTAATAAAATTGCTGGTGAAGATGCTGAAGGGTGCAGGACTCTGTAAGGTCATCTTTTGCAGACTAAATACTTCCAGTCTTGCCATGAGAAACCACCATGAGAATGCATGTCTGTGCACATCCAGGAGGCAAGAGGAGGAATAACCCACAGCTGTGCCTCTCCTCCCAGGCTGTCATTCCTCATCTGGGCACAGCAGCAGCACAGCCAGTCCCTGGGCACAGGGCTCGAGCATCATTTTGTTCTTCGCGCTGCACTTGACACATGTATTTTCCAAAGGGAATATACTTTTCTGTGACAAGAGAGAGGGAAGTCATGGGAAAGTTTCATTTCTTTGGCAAAACAGCAATTTCATGAGAAATTTCAGGAAACATAAAAATATTGATTTTGTCTCTGGTTGTCGATTTTCAAAATTAATATTTTTTTCACTTAGGTTTTTCCTTTCCACTCCCTTCTCTTATAACCTTCCCTCAACTTTTCCCTCATCCGCTTGCCAGGGAAAGTATAATATTTAGATATTCTTTCCAAATCTTCCTTTTTTCCATTGTCTAACCTTTGAAAACTTCAATTTGGAGAAGATAGGGAATGGAAAAGAAAGAAGAAAAAAAACTGTGAAAACAAAAATGCTGATTTTCTGGGACGTGTGTGGAGCCATGCTTGTGCAGAGACACATGCGGGAGAGTCCTGGTTAAGAAAAAAATAACAATAATATCACCCAGTGGCCAAGAGGAAGCAACAGGGAAGAAGGGAAAACAATGTAAAAACTTCCGTGGTTTGCAGAAAACACACATTAAAAGGTGGGGAAGGGGAGGTGTTCTGCTCTGACCTTGCAGTGCATAAACACACCCTCAGTTTGGAAAGGGCTGATATTCTACCTTCTCTTCCCCTTTGTTGCTCTGATGAGGTTCTTCTAATGGGCTGTATCTGATGGGCTGTATCTCCTCAGTCTGGTTCTGCATCCCACAGGGTGCCCGTGATGCAGGGACAGGTCTCAGGCATATTTTGTCTCCCATCTCTGTAGGATCATACCACAGTATAAAAGCCACTCTTAAACCTTTTTCTTTCCTCCTCCCTCTTTTTTTTTTTTTTATTCTTTTTTACTGTTTCATTCAAAAAGCCAAGAAAGAACTGACTACAGAAGGAAAAAGGGATAAACAACCCTCCTATAAATTTAAAAAACAGGACTATTACTTAGGGAGGGGGCACAAGATATGACTCAGAAAGGGGCTGCTGACAGGAGCCCGGCTGCCCAACATGTTGTCCCGAGAGCAGCAGGGATGCTAATCTCACCCCCCAGATATCCCTGCTCCCTGATGAAGGTGGTGATTAAGGGCTTCATTTTCAGCAGCCCTACACAAATAGGCTCCCAGCCACTTGTCTGAGAGCAGAAAATGGACAACTGATGGCACCACGTCACAGGGGCTGGTTTCCCACACAGATGTGTGTGCAGCTAACATCTCAGCAGTGATTTCAGGGTTTGGGGGATGCCCTTGTCGCTTCGAAAGTGAAGTGAGACTTTACAAAGACCCAGTTTGCATCAAGGCAGGATGCTGGGATGGGCTGTGTCTTTTTCTAGGGCAGTTTGTGAGCTTGGTGTCTCCAAGGAGTATTTTTCCATATCCCCATGACCTTTACCCTTCCACAGGCTCCAGTAGAAGCTATTTATGGGTTATTTTTCTTCCTTTTTCCTTCCTTTTATGCTCTTTAGAGAATGTCCTAACTAGAAACGTTTTCTGGATAAAAGTATAAGATGAATGTGAACTGAGAAGCTACAACACAAGCTTCCCTGTGCTGATTTGCATTGAGGCTTGTCTCAAAAAAAAAAAAAAAAAAATCAGAAAAGGGCAGCTCCATCTTCCCAATGGATGGAAATGCCTTCCCTGTCCCTGTTCTGCAAAATGGGAAGTGAGGAGGCACATCCTCACATGCGGGGGCAAGGATGGGAGAGGGATGGGAAGGGAACATCACGGGAAGGGATTTAATGCTCTGACTCACTGTCAGTATCTTTGGAGGCAGCGTTTTGCTCAGACAGGAGTGCACAAACACAGTGGCTTTTCTCTGCAAGCCCTGCAAGTGCTGAGGCACCGAGCTGCTTCTCTAGACGTGTGAATGCTGATTCAGGTCATGGTCACAGATGTGGGTCCTAGGTGAGCTCTGTTGGTAAAATGTTAAGTAAAATGATTTTATCCCATTTCTATCCAATTTTATCCATGTATATAACTGTTTCTTCCTTCAGAACCTGTTCTAAAGCCATTTCATACTTTTATTTATTTCATTTTTTCAAACCATTCCACCATGTATGTGATACGTTTGCTCTTGTTTCATCCAGCCTGACTAACCTGGCTTCCTTGAGGATCCTTGCTACTGGAAACATGATTTCACGTGCTCCAGTGGAGATCATTTGTTCTTCTTCTTCATCCTCTCATCCCAGTGCATTTGCTGGCTCTAAAACAACAACATTTTGGACTTTTAGTTTAGGTATGGTTTCTATTGCATTGTATTTATTCACTACCCAGCTTGCCTTCTCCATTATCTGCAGTGCCAATTTCTCACTCAGGCAAAGCGTTTGCTTGGGTTTTGGGAAACACATCAGTTACCTTTAATCTCTACCACGCTCTCACCACATAACAGAACTGCTCTGTCCTTATTCTCCTTTCATTTATGTAACCGACCAACCTCTGCATTATTATTTCCTGTGCAAGGTTTAACTCAGCCCGATTCTTGGCAGTTCTTATTGGTTTCTGAGCCATGATATTCAGGAATATCATCACCAGCTGCACTTATTTTCCAGGCTGTTCCTGGGGCAGTAAAGCCGCCCATAGTGATATGACTCTTCCAGCACGTCTCTGCCTGGTGTCATTGCAGCAATATTTGTCCACGACCAGATCAGAGAGCTGATGGCCCCGATGCTCTTCCAGTAGACAATTGTTCATCCAAAATAATCTGACTCAACTGGTTTTCACTCAGTTTTCATATTCTTCCAACTTATTTCTCTGTCGTCTGTCACAGTGTGCACAGAAGATGTGCCTTCATCTCCCATAGCTTCTCTGTGGCTTCTTTGGTACACTGCCTTCCTTCAGTGCCCCTGTTGCAGTCAGAGCCACCATTTCTCCACAATCCTCAAGCAGGGAATCTTACCTCTGTGTTTAACATTTCTGTCAAGAGCTGTCTTGCACACAAAGCATCTGATTTGTTTCTGTTGCAGAGTGCAGGAGAGGGCCATGCTGCGATTCCGTGATTCACTGACCCTAGCCCTCTGGAGAAAGTGCAACTGCTGTGGTGGGCCTGCAGCTCCTCACACACCTCCCTGAGCTTTCCTGGTGGAAGTTCCTAAACCTGAGCCACAGCAACAGGTAGAATCCAAAGCCCGTATCACCCGCTTCCCTTCACCACAGCTGCAGCGTTCACAGCACCCTCATCAAAATGTGCCATCTCTCAGGCACAACCATTGCTGGCACAGCAATCATAATGCCCCATACCCCAAATTTCCTCAAGTGAGGCTTGCTTTAGTGATCCTGGGAGGAAGCAGGGGGAGGTGTAAAGAAGGTTGTGCCAGGACAAGTATATGTCCTGAGTGGTATCTGAGCCTATGCTGCAGCTTGTCAGACATGCAAGATCACAGGCTGAGGCCAGCTCTGGGGCTTTCTGACACTAAACAACTCAATTTTCCACTATCTTTTTTTTTCAGAAAGATTGATGGTTTTTATGGTAACTGTCAATAAGCTTCAATAAACTTCTTTCTGGGTCATTGGAAATGCCCCAGCGATTTCTTCATGTCACTATTAGAAGTGTTTTATTTTCCATTTCTGGGTAAGCGAGGAAAAAATGTGACTCACCCAACTCAGTTTTCAGGTTTGGTATGACACAGTTAATTGCTGACACTCTTTGTGATACTCGGTAATTTCAGCCTAGCGTGCTGGAGACATTGCTCTCCAGCAGCTCTAAAAAGATGGATGTAATAGAAAGACTGATCTGTTCTCAGCTAGATCAGGGTGAAAACTTGGTGACAAAACAAAACTTTAAATGTGCTGCTTCGTGTAACTCTCCTAGCAGCCATCTGTTTACCGTGTGGAAAAACATCTGTAAGATTTCTTAAGGGCTTGTCCATCGTTTTGGGAGCATTTCTCTTTATTTTCTTGCTGATTGAGGACCTCACTCTCTCACCTCTCAGCCTCATGTAGCTGGAGACTTGGCACAGGTGCTTCTGTAGTAGTTGCACAAGACAAAATTGTCTGAGTAGCCTCAGGCACGGCGAGGTAGGTGACTGCAGATGCCTCCGCCGCCTGCTATTAATTGGCACACCTGTTGCACAGACCTGTTGGTACCACGGGATGTAAGAGTAAAAGATGAAATCATGGTAATTGCAATCCTCCTTCAAGCTATCATTTAATTTACATTTTAATTAATTTTATAAGTCTTGTAGTTGCAAAATATTGAAGCAATTAAAGGCATGAAGGAAGGAACATGGTGTCAATTCAGGACAGGGAGTCGAAGAGGAGAATTTGGTTTGAGACAAAGTTCATGCAAACAAAAATGCTTCACAATTTCTAGTCCAACCTATGTGACATTTTTAACCTCTCTAGAAACTTGAATGAAGTAAGACATAGCCTTAGAGTCTAAGACATTTTGAGAGATAACAATTTTACTTAGTTTTCAGATGGGAAGACCAAAGCAGCGTTTGGAAACATCATTTCCCAAGCTCCTGTAGGAAGTCTGCATGGGAGCTGGGAATGAAGCCCTGACCTTTTGAGCCATCCAGGTAAGTATCTTTCGTACAAGAGCATCCTTCCTACCAGCCCTCAAAAAGTAATTACAAAAGACTTGTGTGCTTCTGTGAGCGGGGTGGTGCCTTCCTTACACAGATCTCATCATCTGGCCTTTGGCTACCCAGCCATTTGGGGCGCTCAGAAAATGGCTGTTACTAAAGAGAGTGTTGCTAAGTTTTGTGATTTTCACATTTACGTTTTTTTTTGTTGTCACTGTTTGTTTTGTTTTAAAAACCCCGCTCCCAGATGCAGAAGCTTCCCTTCTGTTTAAATAAAAGTTTCCAGTTGTCACAGCTGTATAAAACATCAAGCACCACTCCTCGCAGCACGGAAACCAGAACATTACATTTCAAAGAACCTAAATGTATTTTTGAGTCACATCGATTGTATCGCACCTCTGCTTTTTTTAAGCCACTTCCACAATTCTGTAGGACAGATTTAAGCCTTTTGGTGATGTTGTACATCACATGGGAGTGAGCCTGAAGGTGCGGAGCCACTCTGAGCAGCGGAGGCTGTGCCAAAGCGCTTTGCCTGCAAGGAGTAGCTGCGGCCAAGGAGGGGGAACAGCAATGTCAGCTCCTCTTTGGATGGTGCATCAGTGCACAGTGCCAAGCTGAGGGAGGAAGGGAGCTGGGTTTGCTGTCCTAGGAAATGCAAGTCTCTGAGATTTGCCCCTGGGTAAATCACACAGCAGCAGCTAGCACAGGTAACTGCTGCAGACTGGTGACAGGTCTCTGCCACCAGCAGGCATTGGGTTCAATCCGTGCTGAGGTGCGGCAAAGACCTGACATGATTTATGGGCTTTCCACAGGCAGCTGTCTGCTCCTACGCTAAATTCCCATAAAACCTGTAGGGAATGACATGGGGCGGAGAGCTCTCTAGTTCTGGTCTGGGTCTGGGCAGCTGTACCTAAAGAGCGCAGGGATGGCACTCAGCCTGGCTTGGAGGTGATGGAAGTGATGGAGGGGATGAAGACAGGCACTCCTTGCATAGATCTGATCTCAGGGTGACAAAAAGTGGCTCTTGACTTTTACGTGGTTCAAATAGGAAGAAGGGCCCCTTGAAGGTTCGTCTGCCTTGAGGCTGGGCTTCCACAAGAGAGGCACCAGGGCGGACTGGGCTGGTCGGGATGGCCAGGAGCCACATGAGCATCCACCCGCAGAGCCTGCAAGGGCACTTCTGTTATCAGCACATGCACTTGGGGCATGCTTGGCTGCCCTGTGCTGCAGTGCTGCAGGCTTGCTGAGCACAGCACCAAGCCCACGGGGGAGGCTGGATGCTCATGCTGTCACTGGGGACATTGCAGAGCTATTGCTGTAGGAGCTAGCCCACTTTTTCTGTTTTTTTCCTGACTGCATTGTAACAGTGGGGAATGTGTCTCTGTGCTTCCCTGCTGCTCCTTGTCCCAGGCAGGGCTGAGGCCACACTTGAGTGGCTTCACTGCCATTTGCTCTTGGCCTCCTCCCAGGGATGCTCTCTGTCTGCATGGCCATTGCCTGGACCAGGCTGCCCTTGCTGCTGCAGCCCTCCCATTAATCAACATCTTCACCCTATTATAACCAGAGGGATGTGGGGTCCCGGGTTGGGAAGGGGCCATCCTTCACCTCTGCCATGAAGCATTTCCTTCACACCACGGCGACGCAGAAAGCCATTCACAACACGTGTCTGAGAGGGATGGGACGAGGCACAAACTTCCTGCAGGGTGTCAGGTTGTGTCCCACAGCTGGCTGCGTGCTGGAAAACCGGGGCTGTGCCACCCGTGGCAGCACCCGGGGACATGTTCGTGGCACCGGCAGTGGGGGGACAGCGGGGAGCAGCCGGAGAGACGTCTGCCTTTGTTCGGGAGGGAGGAGGCCGGGTGGAAAAAAGCGAGAGGTGGGATGAAAACCGAGCAGGAGAGCAAGGTCCGTGGGCCAAGTGTGCCGCAGCTGCCAATGTCATCAACTCCAGGCCCGCGATGCGGCGGGAGCCACCCTTTCCAAACACGGCAGAGGACATTGGATGCTCTCCCAGAAACAGCGCTGCAAACCCACCCAGAAAGCTCCCAGCACAGGCAAAGAGAAATATTATTCTCCCATTAAAAAAAAAAGAAAAGCCTGATAAGATATCCAGAAAGTGTCTCCTCTTGGTGACCGCTCTAAGGAAGGAAACTGGGGCTGGACCAAATGCATGTCCCGAGCTCCAGACACTGTTATACTGAGACATAGACACTATTTGAGCAAGCACTGATGCTTGCTCAAATCTGACACTGCACATCATGAAAATCAGGGAGCAGTGTAGTGAGGATTAATAAATGTTCTTTTCATGTTGAGACTATACTTCTGCTCTCCATAGGTTGAGTGATGAAAGAGAGCAGCTGTGTCAATAGCCCATTATGGGTGGGGGAAAAAAGAGTTGTTTGCAGACATGTAAACTCAGACAGAGGGTTTAAAGGCTTTGTTTGAAGTTGTGTGTGGCTCCAGCATCAAAGCAGCAGGAGGGGCTGCAGGTGTGCTGAGAGCATCCCCTGACCACGGTGGGGCACACAAAATACTCCAAGCAGCAGAAGTGGCCCAAGAGGCAAGAACAAAGTGCAAGCAAGGATCAGAGCTCAGGTGCCACCAAAGATTTCCTATCTAGGACTTGCTCTGGAATACAAAATTTGATGATTTATCCTGCTGATAAAGTGCTGAAGAGGTGCAGAACAGGGCAGATGTCACTGAAGGAGGAAAGGCAAATGTGTTGGGAAAGTTCAACCAAGAGGATTTTGCTTGTGCTGGCCAGAAGGTGCTGGGCCATGTGTACCATGCAGCCGCTGCCTGATCCTACATGGACTGCAACCTGCAGAAGGGACCTCAGGCTGCTGACACCTGTCCTGTGCTGGGGAGATGTCTGGTGGAGGAGCAGCCTTCAGCAGGGGCTCCTGCAGGGAGCTGGGCAGTGTCTCTGGGTGGCCGAGCTCACACTGGGGCCCCACTGCTTCTCCATTCACCCATTTTTCACCTTGAACACTTACCTTTGCTGTAGCACTTCCTTGCTTATTAACTCCTCCTGCAACCCCATGTGAATAAGAATTGCTTACCCGAGAGTTCATGTTATTTACCCACTGCTTGTCTTGGCAGACAAAGCCTCAGACACACTTGCGTAGGTAAAACTCTGGAGCTGCACATTTTAGGTACATTGCCAACTGACGTAGAAAGTTTTATTTAGAGAGTTAGAGATGTCAAATTGAAAATGGCATCCCTCTGTCATCTAAATGAATGTGTGTTTTTTTCATGTAATGCCCAAGGTGATTATTTTCGGTTGTTTTGGAAACCTCTCAGGACCCCTGAAGTCACAGGTGTTGCACATAGTTTTCTCTGTATCTTGTGTGGTGTGCCCATTTCCCTTCATTCTAAACATCCACCTGAAGACATTTCTCTAGAAGTGTCTTTGTTCTGTCAACTACAATGGGAATCTCTCAGTGCATGCAAACTTTTGAAGTTCATGTAGCCAAAAATGCTCAGCAGCTTGGGTCCGTCTACATGCTGCACCGCAGGGGCACCTGCCTGCCTGGGTGCTTGCCCTCTCTGGGCTCTTCTTTACGGGCTTCCAAGGGATTTCTGGACATCTGAACCACTGGTTTTACCAAATTCACTAAAGGGAAGTTGGCTGCTTCACTCCATGTGTGTTTAGGGGTTGTTTCTCTTGGGAAATCATTGGGTTTGGAGATAAGAGGACTCAATGTCTCCATCAGCTTATTTCTGTCCCTCCCCAGGAAGCTGCTGAAGGCACACTTCTCCCCAGCTCATTATTTCCAGCTTTCCATGCACATCCCATCAGTTACTTCTGAAATTTTATTTTATTTTTTCTGTGTGTGTGTTTTTTTTTTTCTTGTATTTTTGTCCTGCAACCAGCACGATTTCATGCAGCTCCTTGGAGGTGCTGAGCTATTTTTCTGGTAGCTCAGTTGCTCCAGCAGCTAAGTCGGGCTGGGAGAAAGGCAGGATCCCTTCAGAGCAGAATGGCAGAAAGGAAGATTGTCTAAGATGGCACTTGATTAGCGGCATCCTTCATGTCCTACCCTCTGCATTTGATGTGGGCAATCAGGAGAGGGTGTTGCCAAGGCTACAAGATCTTGTCAGTCTGCCTTCCAGGTCCTCTGTGGCTTCCCTCTTCCTTCTTCCATCCTTAATTGTGCCCAGACTTTCTGTTTAAATACCATCTGCTTCAGCTGCAATTTGCACAAGTGTCCCGAAGGGCTTTGCTCTTGATTCTCTGTAATCTGCCCTTTGTATGCTAACCTTCCACGAGACGGTCTTGTCACACAGAAAATACACTTGTCTTTGAAGAATGATAAAACAGGGATGTGAAGGAACACAGGACAAGCAGGTCAAATCCGAGCCTGGTGCTGTCTGAGCCAGATTCTGCCACAGATAATTCCCCAAGTCAACCTGAGATCACAGCAGTAAAACAAGGCGTTGTCATAACCAGGGGAAGGGTTAATGGAAGATCCTGTCTGCAGCGAACTCTCTGCTGCATATTCTTGCTCATATTTTGCAAGCAAAATACTTATTGGTGTCAGCGGGGGGTTCAGGCGGGGAGCAATGACTTTGCCATGGTGATCCACATCACTGATGCGAATTAAACCAGGTTTAAAACTGGCTGGGTTTTGAAGGTTAGACCTCAACCAAGCAGGCTGATCCCAACTCCATTTTCCAAACCAGCTCAAAAGCAGGATTAGTCCCTTCCCAACAGATTCACAGCAAGGCATTTTTCACAGTGTCTGACCAACAAATGTGCACTTCTTGGAGTATTACAAGAGGAATACATATAATCAGAATTGATAGAATTTATTAATATAACTGGCTTCCTCATTTTCACTGTTTCACATTCTTCTTACACCATTTTTCACAAAGTGTTGCTGCCAGCATCACCTTGGACATGCCCATTGGCATTGTGCTGCAGGCTGTGCTGCTAGCACTACCTGCTAGGGCGGCTGCTGCCTGGTGCTTCCCGTTACACTTTCCCCTTTCCCACTTCTGTTTAGTTTGTGGTCTTTCGCTGTTTGGGCTGAAATGCAATATTAAGAACATTCTGACTGAGCCAGGTAACTCGATATTTACTGTATGTGTGAACTTGTTAACCTAAAGCAGCGGTTTCTGAGAATAAAGCAGAGAAAAAAAGCATTTTGTTTCACCCATTTTAAGAAATGCTTAAAGGAATGACTTGAAATTTGATGAGCGTGTTGTACGAAGGATGCCTTTCCTGTGAAAATTCCCCTAAACGGAGCTAAATGTGTGAACCTTCAAAAAAAAAAAAAATAAATCACAGTTTTCAGAGGAAGGAGTTGCAGGATTTCACAGCTGAGTTCCCCCAGAGGCTCTCCCTTCCACGAGCTCTGTGCACTGCAGGGAAGACAACCCCGGAGCTGTCAAAGCATTGTGCTCACATCTCCCCACAGCCTGCACATCACCAGAGCTCAGGGACGAGCCCGTGTTGGCTGGAGCTTCTCAAAAAAAACCCAACACCAGCAGATGTTTTCTCCAAGCCTGGCCAGCAAGGAGCTTTCCTTTCTGATTTTCTGTCTTTCATGGCTTTGTCTCCTGCATCCCAAGCAGTGTGTTTTGAGGCAAGGCGAGGCAGGGTGGTTTTGGAAATGTTGGAGCTGTTTCTCCCAGGGTTTCTCTTCTGAGACCTCGTTCCCCAGTGTGATCCAGCCCTGCAGGGCCTCGCCTGCCTCCTGGGCCTGCCCAGCAGTGGTCCCAGGGGTCAGGGCAGGAGGAGACCCCAGTGAAGGAGCACATCTCCCCTTGTTTCTGGCTGTCACCTCCACTTGCTCCTGATGTCTCCATATGTTCAGCCAGCTCCCTAATTTATGAGGTGCCTTCACTCCCGTGTGCTCAGGGATTTTTCTCTCAGCTAAGCGGGAGATGGGAGGAGAGTGAGAAGGAGAAAAGACAGACAGGAGACACTGTGAGGAGGAGCAGTAAGGGGCAGGGGACATCTCTGTCCCAGCCACCTTCAGGGCTGAGGAAGAGGGCATGGGAGTTGTGCAGGACTTCAAGTCCTCACCCTTTGGGTTGGGACTGTAGTTTTTGCTGTTTCAGCAGGCCTGGAAGCAGGACACCCTGTCCGAGCACAACTGGGTCGCTCTCCTTGCTCCCACCTGGCATCCAGGCCTGTGTCTGCCTCCATGTGTGGAGGAGGAAACATTTCAAAAGACATTTACAGCTGTGCCTGGCTCTGGGGCAACTAAAAGGGTCACAGACACGGGGCAAGTGCTGGCACGGACCCCTTTTCCTGGGGGACCAGCAAGTCTTCCCAGGGGGGCTGACACCGCAGCCCCCTCTGCATGCGGCCCGAGGGGACTGAAAGCAAACAGTGCTGAACCCAAGCTTAATGTGGAAAAGATGAGAGGAAGGAGGTTTGCTCTGCACACCCAGAGCAAAGGGATTTCTGCCCTGGCCGTTTCTGCTGGGTGTGCTGAAAGGTCAGCAATATCTGAGGCCCGCCAGCCAATAGCTATTTTTGGCTCCTATTTTGCAAACACCACATCAGAAACAAAGAGTTATTTTTGTCCATCAGGATTTCTCTGATAACTTCGCTCGGTACAATGTTAAATAATCAAACCCTGCAGGAATAACAGCCCTGTACTATAATCCCCTATTATCAGATACATAGAGGCACACAAGGGTGTGTGTGTGGAGGGGAGAGCTCAAATCTCCCAGCAAATACAAAGGAATATTTATATTATTCATAACATCTGAGTCCACATATTGCAGTGATTTGGAGTATTGCGTAGGTGTGCATAGAGGTGTGGATTTTTTAAACAAGGGGTACTTGTCCCAACAGGAGAAAATAGTAATAGCTATTGTCCTCGCTGCTTTTTAGCAATACCGGTGTGGAACGGGGCTGGTGTGATAAGGAGCAGCTGAGGCGCCTGCAGAGCCCGACTCCTACACATACACTGTCACACGGCTTCCTCCACATCTGTGCTGCGGAAACACCTCCTTTGCCCATGAAAAGCCTGGTGGAAGTGGAGCGTATTGATTTGTGAGTCACTGGGAGCGCTGCTGGAGCAACCACAACGCAGAGAAAGCCCCAGCTCCTGGCTTTCTGTGGTTCATATCACACAGGACATGCTTGGTCTTTTGCCAAGCACTGTATGGACTCAGGAAAGACAGCACTTGCCCCCCAAACTGAAAATGTCCCTAGAGAAGACATATAAAAGTAAGAGAAAGGGAGTTTTATAATATGTAATCCATGGCTGGAGGGGTTAAGCACGGAGACCTCACGGACCATCTGCTCTGCACCTACCACAAACAGCATTTTTTTTTTTTTTAATTCTATTTAGATGTCAAAGAAACCCTTGTATTTCCAACGTGGTCTTCATGGCAGGTGATCACCACGTGGAAAAACCTGGCACAGGGATCTTCACCTTTGCCAGGGGCATTTGACCAAGCTTCCTGCCTCGGGGGCAATAGCTCTGTGAAGCTCCAGGGAGCAGTTAGGCTGCCACACCAAGCAGTCACTGGTCTGAGAAAGGAAGAGAGCTGCAGCTTGAACCATCTCCTTCCTCTGGGTGTCCTGCTGTGTAACCTGGGCTTCCCCACACGTACCAGGCTGGATGAAATGAGGAATGCTGCCCCAACACTAAGTCCTCCTGGGTGCTTTCTAGGGACCTGAGTGCCTCCTTTGGAGAGTCTTCTGGTCTGCAAGATGCACAGGAATCTGGCCTGGAGCCCAGGTCCTTGTGGGGGTTTAGCCCTGAGGCTGACTCACCATCAGAAAGTAGGCTTGATACGGTGAGGGAATGGGGACTTCCAAGGCAGTGTCACTGACTTATGGTTTATTACTTACCAGATCATGTTCTCTCACATTTCCAGCACCTGGAGTTGTGAGACTACCAGCGAATCTCAATTTGGGGATTTTCTAATGGATGTTCAGAGCCAATTGTGCTGCAAAGAAATGATTGAAAATGCAGTACCTCTCCTCTCCCCTGCTGCAAAGGGCAATCAGGGAGCCCAGATCTACTTGTTTTGAACCTTCCAATTTAAAGCCAATTACAGGATTTCTGAACACCTGCAGCCCAGAGGTCCCTGTGCCTGGACCACCCAGCTTTGCAGATATCTGAATAGATACATGTGTCTTCAATTTCTAATGCATTTTGCAAAAGCTGTTTCAATTTCTTTAAACAGGCACTTGGTACCTTGAACGTTCACATTCCTAAGCATTGCGCTCTCCTGGAGCATTCATGTGCTTTTTGTGTGCTTGATGGAGAGGCTGCTGTCACTCGGTCAGAAGGCAGGTAACATATGCAATTGCATATTTGGGTCACTCATCTTACGGAGCGCTGAACAGACTTCCTAAATGATGCCTCAGTCCTTTGTTCAAATTTCAAAATGAATATCACAGACAGGTCTGCATTCTCTGGCTCAGAAAGACTTTCAAGCACAATGAATCAAAAAGGGGATGATTTTTGGAGCACTTGTATGGGAAATTTATGGGTTTGCTTCTTTCCAAGATGAAAAACCTGATGTAGGCTATAAATTTACTTAGAGGTCTGCCTTTAAAACTCAGCTTGTGACTTCTGGTGGGAAACAGAGGATGGGTAGGTATAAATCAACCTGCACTAAATGGGATGGCTCAGACTTCATAAAGAAAAAACAGGTACAGAGGACATGCACTTTGTTGTGGAGGTCAGCAGAGCTCAAACCAAGCGTTAAACCAAGCTCGAACTCTGCCATGAGTTTGGTGGCATTTTTTTGCCAGTTGATCTGGCACAAGTAAAGACCAAAGCCAGAAGCCAGCTCACAGCAAGGATGTGGGCTAAAAAATCCTGCTCAGGCATTCCTATACCTTACCACCTGTGCCAAGAAAGACAGAGATGTTCTCCTAGTACAGCCAAGAGGAAAGAGAAAAGTAAGTTGGTTTGGGGCAGCACAAGGAGCTGTGGGATGTGTCCTTCAAAGCCCTGGGGTACGGTGTATCAGTGATGCTCAGTGTGGGCTCTTGGAGCAGCTCTGCTTGGCCATCCCATGGGCTCACCCCCAGCCGTGGCTGACCCCGAAAACAGCCTGGTGGTCATCCAGCATAGCTGATGTGGCAGCAAATCCCAAACTGCTCTGCTGGGACAGAGAGCAATAAAGTTAAACTGCAGTGGTGAACCGAACCCATGTTTAATCCTGATTAGTTTACATTGAACCATGGCTGCTGACAGGTTATTTAGGTAAAAAAAGCAAGAGCTCATTATGTCCCTCATTCTGCTGCCTACTCCCTATGGGTGGAGTTTCACTGAAATCAGCTGGAGCCCTTCCACATACAGCAAACGGCAGGATTAGCAGTGATGTTTTGCAAATATCCCTCTTACTCAAATAACCTATTAACTAAAATGCTCCATTGAGCTGCAATCACAAGTAGGGTTGTTTCAGTTTGTAGTTTCTATGGTGAGTTGTGTGTTTCTGGAAGCAGGGCTAGGTATTTTTTTTCCTCCACTTGGAAACATTGTGTTGAAGAAAGAGGAGGTTGTTAAAGGATTTGAAACACGTTCTTCTGCAAAATGTTTCCCTTTTGAATGTTTGGTAATACAACTTCATTTGCATGATGCTACAAGCTGTGGGCTAAATCGCTTGGCTGGATGATTGTTTAGCAAGATACAGAGATGCCACAAAATTAGATGCACGTTCAGTAAACAACCGAGCAGTGCCCAAGTTTGCAGCTCCAGTGAAGCATCACAGATGGAGATGCTTGTGGCGCCACACAGCGTGCTGGGCAGTGCTGGGGCAAATCCCACCATTACAGCACAGGATGTGGAGCTAGTTAGCCCTGCCAAAAAGCGTTTTTTTCTGTCCCTCTGCTCCGTAATCTGGGGACGGCTCAGAGCAGCCCACAGCTCCTCAGCCCAGCTCCCTCTGGGCTGTTCGCATCCAGCAGAGGCAGCTGCATCCTGGAGAGGGGAGCTGGGTGTGTAGCAGCAATTGGGCAACTGCTGATAGGAATGTGGAATATTTGAACTATTCCACTTGTCATGTAGAAAGCTCCATGTCAACACCAGAAATGCAGCACAAAAGAAAATGTCAAGAAGGAGAAGAGGCAAGGATATAACAGCAACAGCTTTTGGTAACCACATTCACATTTCCACCCATTAATCTGAAGCTGTAAATTTTAATTCTTGCCAGCCTCACCAGTATGTTCTATGCAAACTGTTGCTGTCTCCAGGAGCTGCAAGTAAAAACACGGGAGTTATACCCATGCTCTTATCTCGTGTATTATGACTCCTGTCCAATTTGCTAAGCATCAGTGATCAGTGTCACATTGTGTAGGCATTAGAAGTATTATTTGGTAGTCTTTTTGATTTTAAGTATTTCTGAAATGCTAGGCATATACATTGCTGCTTTATTTTTGGGGTGGAAAGGGGAAAATTGAGGAGAGTGTCACTGCTGTTAGTCAGTGCCTCAGCAGCACCCCATCGGAGCTGCCCAGCTCAGAGCTGGCACAGCAGCTCGTGGTGTAGCACACATGCTTTTCTTGCAGGTGAGTTTACATCTTGTGTGCATGGCAGCCACGTGCCTTCATTGCCAGACATGGCCCATGGGGAATTCAGAAGCTTCCTACTCGACAAAGCCCCACTGATGAGACAGATCGTGAATCACACAGGATTCATGTATGGCTGTGGGTGTTGGATGTAAAAACGCAGAGCACTTAACTGAGGGAAGGTAGAGGGTCTCAGAAGAGCAAAGATGGAGTGGTTGAAAATTTGGGACTGAACATAAAATCTCCATGAACATAAAATCTCATCCACTTCAGCTCGGGTGGATGAATCGGTTACACTGAAGTTTGTGGTGAAACCAGAACCAGAAGAGCAGTCTTGGGACTCCTACAACCCAGCAAGCATCACACTTTCCCCTGGTTAATCCATCTTCCTCTGAATCATTTATGGATGTTTGGAGACTGCTGACAAAGTTCAGAGGCATTAGGCTGGAGAAGAAAGCGCGGAGAGGCGTTGTGTGTGCTGTCAGCCCCCGGCGGTGTGTCCATCTGCTCTCATGCGCTAACGAAGGCCTGCTGCGCTGGGCCTTTCAGGGAGCCCCCACCTTTAAGGCCTTTTGCATTAATCTTTAATACGCTCTTTGTGTGCTTGTCATGTAGGAATGCAAAGACTGAAAATAAGCTTCTCGGCCAATATGGTGCGTATTAGCTGGCTTCTACTTCAGGCTGTGGGACAAATCCACCAGAAGAGCCCAATTTTTGCAAAATTTGCCATTTTGCAAATTTTTTCCAAGCAGGAGAGGGGAACCTGTCAGCACCACGAGGGATCTCATCCTGTGTTTTTTAATCCCTTATTTGTTTGATCTCTCAAGTAAGACGTAGTTCATGAGGGAAGTTCACAGGGGAGGCCCAGCGAAGCTGCTGAGAAATGTGTGCCAGGTGAACAAGGCCACGACCACTCCATGGTTTCAAAAGTAGGCCCCAATAATGGTCTGAATGCCCACATTCAGTGCATGGCCCACATTGAAGCAGGTCCACAGTCAAGGGAATTACATCTATGCACACCTGATCCCAGAGGAAAATGGGGTTGGAAGTTTGTGAGCACAGATGCGCCAGGCCTGACCTAGCAGCACAGACACAGCTGGGGTTATTTTATGCCTTTGTGTTAAAAGTTGAGTATCTGCATTAGCTGTTTTCATACAGTTTCATTAGCTGTTTTCATACATCAGAGATTCCTGCTCTTTCATTTATATTGTATCCAGGGCATCTTGCTCTGAGTTGGTAGTAATACATTACTCAGAGGGGAATGGTATCACCCTAAGAAAATAATAATAATAAGCCCACAAAGAGAAGATCTACCTTGATTACAGGATAATTCAGCACAGAGAGTGCCTTTTTTTTTTTCTTTTTTTTTTTTTTCTTTTTTTTTTTCCTGGTAGACCGTAGGAAGACTGGCACACACACATTTTCTGAGTTAGTGCTGGCGTATGCAGTCCTGATAAAACTCAGCTTGTGAATTCTAGTCATGGTCTTAAACTTTATTAAAATGCACTGAAAAGAAAGGTGACACAGTAAAGCAAAATAAATAGTGGTGCCTTGTAAACCCTGAAATATCAACATGAGTATTTGAGTGCAATGCTATTCCAAGTAAATTTGGAGTGGAAATCAGCTCTTACAGTTTCTTCTGAAATCTTTCTCTGGAGGACAGCCGATGGTCACTCTAGGAATGTTTAATACTAGATGTTTGGCATCATATGCTCTGTGTCTTTAAGTCTTTTTTTTTTTTTTTTTCCTGTGTGTTTAACTTGTGTAAACTACTCAGCAGTGCTACGGTACTCACAAACCTCCCCACTGCTGTGCATTGCCTGTGGCAGATGTTACAGAAAATCTGCTGTCTATGAACACCCTAGGTGGGATCGCGTTACAGTGACAGCCATGATGTGAGTCTTATCCTGCTTTCTGCATCATGCTTCTACTGAAAACTTGCTAGGAACTTACATCCTGTTGTGTTCAATGCATAAAGAAGCACTGTGTGTGGAAATTATCTTGTAAGTAGGAGTAACTCCATGGGCAGGAAGGTTTTGCCAAAATGCATCAGCATCTGGTTCTCATTCTGGGAATCAGTCATTTATCCAGCTTTATGAGGCTGAGACACAAGAGGTCATACAACTTCACTTCAGGCACCAAGTTGGTGGACCAGGTTGATTTATACCTCAAGATGCTCTTCTCTTGGCCACGAGACTTTACGAAGTGATATGAAACACAATTCCCAGAATTAATTAGGTATTGCTTGTTTCTTCTCCCATAACCTGTACACACCCATATGTTAAGACTCTGTAAGATCACATCATGGTGTTTTCCCAAAACTTGTATGTTTTCTGATTAGATATGTGTGCTGGATTTAGCCAAATCCCCACTTAACTGGTGCACTCTGTGTGTCTAGGTCATTTGCACACAACAGTTTTTATTTGGAATAACAAGCACGGATCTTGGCAGTGTTCTGCATGGCAGAAACACTTTATATCTTCATAGAAATGCATGTGAAGTTTTCTGGGAAAAAAAATAAATAAAGAACAAATAAGTTAACTCAACTAAGGTTTTCTTAGCAATGCAAGAGTGTCCTGGATAGGTAACTGCAGAGACCCTGGGCTGTTGCTTTTACATTGCTTTTGGGCAGCTCTTGGACCACTTCAGCTGGATCCTCCAGCCTCAGCCTGGTCTCGGTTTGCAGTGGGGAAGGGAGCAAGGAAACAGCTGGGTTTGTCTCTTGCCAGGGCCAGCTCACTGTGCTGGCAGCCCTGGAGCTTCTCCAGCTGGTGCTGTGTGGGTATTTTGGGTGCAAGGCAACCAGAAGGCAGGCACTGCCCCAGGGGATATGTATGGAGTCACTTGGAGACAAAGACTTGGGTCAGTTACATCAGCAGTCATCATGACTGGAGACAATGTCAGGAGCTGGCCCTGCCCAGGACAGGGGCTGAGCATAAGAGCTGTCACTTGCTGTGCTTGTTCCAATATGTTATGGATCACGTTTATAAAGCAGGGTTTTAAAACACTCTCATTTTGTTTTTCCTTCCCCTTGGTGTTCAAAGGCATCTCTCAGCTGCAGTAGACCCAAAGCCATGCCTCCAAATTTAAGGGATCTCTTATCGGTGGATCTGCAGACATGGTTGGTGACCGTGCATCAAAACCTTGTAGCATTTCAATGACTTCTTTTTCTCAGAATATATATGAAAATTGTGCAGATGATTTCAGCTGGACAGCAGCTTGTGCCAAGCCAGCAAATAATTTTCTAGTCTTGGAACAAGACTGAGCTCTGCCTGTACGAACTAGGCCAAAAAAAAAAAAAAGGGAATGGGGGAAAAGACAGTAGGCCCTTTGTCCTCCCTGGAATTTGTTCAAAACCTCAGGGATGAATAAGCCACTTTATTTAACCCAGCCCAGCTATAAATAGGCAGCAGCACCTTAGCCTCTGTGTGAACTGGGGAACTCAGATGTGTCGCCTCAGTTACAACCATCCTTGAGAGGTACAGCTTGAATTTGGGATGTGCTCCCATGCTGAAGGGTCACTGAATGTAACTGGGGCACCAGGTATGGCACAAAGAGAGACCCTGAGCTAAAATGGAGGTGCTGGGGCTGGCAGGGCCTGAGGGCTGGTTTGCTTTTGCTCTTCTTATCTTACTTGTGTTTGCCAGTTGTGTTTTAAGCATTGAGTTGTCATCCCATGACCAGTTTATTTTGTGCTGCCCCCATGTTTTTGTCACAAGACCTGACCAGACTGAAGGGCTAATGCTGGAGGGCACGCGAGGGCTGCCAAGGCTGGGGGAAGGCTGATTTGATGGGACAGGTCCCTCTGCAATTCCTTCCTGCTGGAATCATCACCAGTGAACAATTAGCAGGGGTAATAATTTATTCTCAGGCTTCCAGCAGTGAGGTACCCGGAGCTTTCCCGAGCTCCTGGGTCTGTCTGTCCGTCCAGGCAGCATCCCAGCCTCTGGGGTTTTCGTGGCTGCGTCACCCGCTGAACAGCAATGCGGGGGAGTGCAGCTGTCAGGGGTACAGAGGACACCTGAGTATGTGACAATACCCAACCCACGTTTCATAAATTAAATGACTAATTCATAAAGAGAGTCTGTCACACTCCGGGATTCTTGCTGAAGCGGAATGCTGGCGTGATTGCAAACATCCATTTAACGGCTGGACTCACCGCAGCCATGGGAGCTTTGAACAGATTTCCGTCGGGGAGGGGGTGTGCATGAATCGTCAGGCAGGACGAAAAGATCCTTGTCCTCTGTAGTGTAAAGTCTGGAGGCTGACAGCGTGACCAGGATCGGGATGGTCTGCGTGCCCACCCCCCCGGAGGCGCCCGCTGCTGCCTGGGCTGCACAGAGAGTAGGTTTGCTAAGGCTTGGCACGAAGCTTTTGGATGCTTCATGGCAGAAATGTTGGGGAAAATGGAAAAAAAATGCTTCATCAGCATCCTTAGGGGAAAATTGCAGCTTTTTAATGTTTCGTGTTTATTTTTTTTTTCAATGAAAACTTTGAAAAGAAAAAAAAAAAAAAACTTCATTAAAATCCTCATTTTGCAGAACTGCGTGAATTTAAACATTGGTTCATTGCAATGAAAGCCACAGTTTATTTTCAAGGATAAAAGGAGGAAAGGTCTCCTGCTGGAATTCGTGGTGGAAGCAGTGCATGTGGGTAACAGCGCTTGTAACGTGAACGTGAGGGATGTGCTGCCCGCTGTGGCAGACACGGCTCCCTGTCACTGTCAGGGATCACCTCTCTCCAGAGAGGAATTCACACAAACACTGGATTTGAAACAAAAGCTGTCAAAAACACAACTTAGGATGTGGTTTGATTTGGAAGCGAGACTTTAGTTTAACGCCATAGAAGCCAGTTTTCACCTCATATGGTTCAAACACGGGATAATTCCTCTGAAAAAGCTATTTGCTCCTTCAGACAGGAGTGTTAAGCAGAATACAGCCAAAAGAAAGAATTACTAAGCAGACATCTGAATAAACAAAATTATCTGGAAGCGATGGCTCCTGCATGCCCCGGGAAGGTTATGAAGTCTCCCTACCTCCCACCCCTGGGGAAATTTATGCCCAGACCGGAGATTTTCCATGCGTGGCACAAGTGTAACTCCAGTACGGAGTGACGCCAGGCATCAGGTTCACAAGTGTTGTGGTGCCAAAGCTGGGCCCATTGCTTGCCCCTTGGGGGTCAGAGAATTTCCCTCCCCAGGCTAGTGCTGCCTGCAGGTGGCAGGTTACCAGCCTGGCTGTGGAGGTGCTGGCTGTGTCCCCAGGCAGCGCTCTGTGCCGTGCTGGTGCACCCATCCCAGCGAGCAGAGGTGCTTTTGCTCTGAGCCTCTCAATAAAATGAAGGGGCAGAGTCTCACCCCCACTTACCCGATCCCTAGCTTTTTGGTAAGTTGGCATTACTGGGAAAAAAAATAAAATCAAATTGTTTGTTCGGCGCAGGCTATCTCTGCCTCTCATCTTCTCTGCCCCATGACCCCGCTCCCCTTGCGCTGGTATAGGTTTCTAGTAATGTGAGTTCCTGCTGGGCTCCACAAAAGCCTTTCCAGAAAATGCTAAAAATGCGCATCGCATTAGGGGGTGAGGGAGGGCGGCCAGCTGGTTGCGGGGACCGGCTGCCACCCAGGGCGAGGGGCAGCCAGAAACACCCGATGAGAAGAGGCGAGGTTCGAGCTGCTGGGTCGAGGCAGGGCTCGAAGGAAAGAGGTGGGAATGGAAAGTGCCAAGGGAGTGGATCTGAATTCAGCTGCATGCCAGGGGCAAAGGCAGGCACAGGGCAGGCTTCCTTCCCTGGGCCCGTGGTGGGCCAGCAGCTGCCCAAATGTCCCTCTGTGCTTTTAAAGCAAGACGCTGCAGCTACAGCACACCTTCCAATCGGTCCATTATAGGCATTTAATAGGCTAAACGGTGTAATACATCTACAGGACATACATTAGTCGAGTATTATGTACAGGTGGCATTTTACAAAATTAGAAAGAACTGAAATAGAGCAAAATCCAACAATGTCTTACTCCATAAAACTTCCCTTCTGCACTACATGAAATATTCTACAAGCTAGACTAGAAAAATATGACTGAATGTCTTTTTTTTTTCCTTTTTAGTTTCTACAAAGCTTTTCATCCAGAAAAAAATACAAAACAACTATTGAGTTTATCAGAGAGACAACACTTGCACACAGACAAAGTAAGTGGACATTCATAGACCTGCAAGTTGAATAAATAGGGCTTGTTTGTAGAAAACAAGTTTCTCTCTATCTTGCTCTCCTACTTTAGGGCCTCTGGCCCATGTTCAGAAAAATAAAAATGGGAGGAGGAGTTTGGCTTTGCGTGGTGGTTAAACAGGGGCCACACAGCTTCAGTGGAAAGCTGAAGTTTGAAGCATCCATTTGCTTCAGCTGAAATACTGAGGGGGAGCTGCGTGAAAGGGGAAACAGGAAAGAGGAGAGTAATGAGGCTGGAAGGAGGAAATCTGGCATTTCTGCAGGGGCTGCAGCGCTGTGTATTCCAACCCCAAAAAGTAGGGTGGATGCAGAATTTTGTTGTTTCTTTGGAAAACTTATTTAGGGAAGTGCCATTGACCTCAGGTGGAAATGGGATAAGGGCCATCCAGAGCAGGAAGGGAGGGAGCGTCTGAAAGCAGATAGAGAGCGCATAAAATTGGGGGAAGTGTTCCAAACAACTGGTTTTCCTTTTATAAAGTGAAAAGCAAATCAAGCGACACGTCTAACGTCATTCCTCGCAGAGCTGGGCAGACGCAGGTTAAAGGAAGTCACGCAGCCAAAAATACATCGTCATCCTTGCTGCTTTTCCCCAGAGCTTCGGAAAACTGCTCAGCAGCCGGTGCAGGGGCCGCGTTTAAAGAGCACCTCACACCCGAGCTGCAGCCCCGTGGCACTTCTCAGTGCTTTACCCAGCTCGTTCTCGCTTCCTCGGCTTTGCAGGAAGGCTGGCACCAGCCAAGGGGGCGGCAGGGAGGGCAGCTGGATTTAGGAGGTGCGCTTGACACCCTCAGCTCCTCTGCCAAGACCTGGTGCTCTGACCGTTCATCCAGCAGAATAGTTCTGTGACAGCGTGGGTAAGAATGTCTACACCAAAAAGGCAAAACAGGTTGTTATATAGGTTGAGAGAGCAAAGTTTAACTGAAGTATCACGTTATACTACACTACACTGCTTATAAAAAGGGTCCTAGATCCCAAACACCCCAAATAATGAGCTATAATTTTGTACATAAATTAATGTTGCTTTGAAGTAAAATAGTCTCTTTCCTTTGTATTAAACATTCATTGCACAGAATTCTTTGTAAGTAAATATATTAAATTTGGTTGCTAAGAAGGTATAAACTTATCTTATCAATACATCTGGCCAGTAAATTTTATCCATCATCACACAATTAAAAGTTTCCTTTAGAGAAAATTATTACTGGATAGAAGAATGCACTTGAAAGTCAACTCGGGAGTTAACGCTGGAAGAAATCCTGTTATTTCTTTCCACCCACAGCGAGCCGCTTCTTCCGGATGCAACATTAATTGGAAGTACAGACCCCATCCAGCCCTGCCGAGATGGAGAAATCCAACTTCGTAGCTTACAGGACACTTGCCACCGAAACAGTCGAACCCTTTTCAGAACATGCATTATCTCCACCGACACTGTCCAAGGGGTAATGTTTTGGGCCGAGATCTTTGCTTCTCCTGGGATGGTGCCTGGTTGGAGGGAGTCTCTGGAAGGTCCCCGTGGAGGAGCAGGCTCACCCCTGTGAAAATGGCCCCCGGATCCATCTCCAGGCAGGGAGACAAGGAGAATCCAGTGGAGACCTGATGCGTGCAGAGACAGCTTGTCCCACCACGAGCTGTGGCCTACCAGAGGTGGCTGTGCACCCGCAGACAAAGGGGCCGTGCTGCAGGTGAGGACCCCCAAGCCATACGTGCTCCCGTGGGCAGCACTGCCAGGGCAGGACAGAAGCCCCCTTCCACCCCTTCCCATCGCAGACGGCTTGGAGGGGACCTGGCATCATGTGGAAAGGCTCCCCAAATGTAAGGAGGTTTGGGCTGTGCCACTGAGCTCCCCTCACCTGCCCAACCACTGCCTAGCCTGGGCTAAGGGAGGAAGAGCTGAGCCTCTGCACCTATTTTATACACAAAACATACCAAAAGAATAGTCACAACAACTTCTATTAACAAGGTGGGACAAATCCAGCCTTGGCAGAAGCAGGAGCCATTTCACTGGCTTCAGTAGCGAGCTGGACCTGGTCCCCGAAGTGCGCACGAACAGCACGATCCACCCAACCAAATCTACAACGAACGGTCTCACTCCACGAACACCAGCGACTAGCTATTCCAGCTCGTCAATGTACAGCAAGAAAGCGTGTCTGAAGCTTCAGAGCCTTATCGAAAAGACGGTTAGTACAAGGCTGGTTCACCTCAATTTGCACAGGTTAGCCAAAGGGAGAGAACTGCTCTGATCCGCACGCGGGCGGCAGCCTGGAGATCCTGCGTAGCGATGGAGGCTAATCTTACACTTGCGTCTCTATACAAAAGTTACAAAATCAAATGGTGACATTATATTACATCTATTGTCCGTAATATCACAGTGCTAGTTTCAAATGGCTAAAAACAAGAAAGGTTTTAGATTTAAGACATCCCTTCCGGAGAAATGTAACCCCTTGGTCCTGCTGTTGATACCTGAAAGCAGCCTTGCTTAAAAAAGGTAAATCCAATGAAATGTGCTAATTGAAATTAGGAGCATTTTTCCTTTGCGATCTCATGTCTGCGATGCATTTCCTAACATGTCCCTTTCTTTTTCCCCAAGGAAAAAATAAACAAATAGTATGAATCCCAGCCTGAAAAGCAGAATGTTAAAAAGAACAGTTCTAAAGCCCATACACTTCTTACCAGGTACTAACTAAATAAAACCCTTGCAGATTTAAATACAGATTAGTTTGACATGTCTTCAGAGTGTGTTAGCTTGTCAACAACATTCACAATGAAGTTTTACTTCTGAGGCCACGGAGTTCCTACTCATCCTTTTCAGTTCTGCTTTCAAGAGTATCTGTACTGTCTTCCACTTCTTGAGCTGGATGCGCTAAAGTATCTGCAAAGAAATGGTTTGTCAGTGTTTTTTCCCCCACAGTGTACATCACCCTTCATCTGACTCCTTGTTCTACGAGGCAGATGATTTGTCAGGGTGCTCAGCCTTGAAGCTGGTAATTTACTGTACTCGCAAACCAGCAACTGAGCCTGCAGTAGGGTACTCCGAGTGCATCACAGCCTGACTTCGCAGGGACTTCAGACCTCAGGATGGGTATTAATGAGATGAGGTGATGACCCCTCTCATTAAAAGCAGGACAGCTGCCACCGTGGGAGGGCTTCCTGCTGTCTTAGTGAATCTGCTCAAATACTCAGCTCTGAAGATGTAACAAGTCCCAATGTCACCGCACAAACACAACACAGAGGCCGTAATGCAGAGCCTGGGGCTCAGGCCACACATTTGGCCCATATTTCTTCTTGAGTGATACAACCCTGTGGTAGCCACCACCTAGAAATGGCTTCAGGAACAGCAGAGGATTCGACACTTCAAGATCAGACGGTGTGTCATTGCCCCTTAGGAAGCAAGGGGCAGTGCATCTTGCACCCCATCCTCGCTGCTGTCTCTGGGCTTTTGCATGGCAAATGGTGCACTAAAATGGAAACCGTGTCACTCTCTAAGGGAGAGCACTGAGATGAAAAAAAAAAAAAACAGAAATGGAGAACAAGCTACACTGACAAGCTCTTATCTCTAGCCATATTTACCCCACAGTGACACCATTAGTCATATCTGCGTACCTCTGAGCTCCTGTTACCTTAATGCACTCCTGGGACACCACGATGCTTTGAAAATGCAGAGCTATTAAATACTCTGCTTCTAGGCTGAGAGATGGGGAGGTAGATAGACACCATGGAACAGGGTTATTGTTTCCTAGAGTGAGCTGCTGATGCGCAGCGCCCTGCCTGTTGGCCATGCGAGTGGCCAGCACTGAACCTGATGCGATTGTAAACTCTGTGTCCTCGAAAGCCACAGGGACATTTTCAGCCCACAGGACTCCCTTTCCATTGCAGGTGTTTCTGGGCACCTTCAAGCACCCACCGCTGCTTGGTACTCTGTTGACCTCAGGGCATGGCATAGCCAGAAAATGCTATTTTCCTATGGGGAACAAGGGTGAAAACTACTCATTCCGACCTTCCAGATCCATCTGCTGCTGCTGGACGCAGACTCTTTGGTCACCATGCAGACCCTTCTCTTCTGCTGACTTCAGGTCATCGGGAGGCCAGCGCAGCTCCCCGCTCTCCACCTCCCCGGACTCAGTTGGCTCCACCACGATCGATGGCAGTCTTTTGGACAGCTTGGGGTATTTCTCACGTGCATCTGGGAAGGCCTGGGGAGACATTTGGGGACACGCCTGTCAAAGCCTTGCCCATGTTCAGAGCAAGCGGGGTACATGCTCCATCTTAGCATCCTTTCTACACCTGACGTGCACTACAATCTGCATCAAAAACCCCCTTCAATCTGGTGCAGACTGACCTGTGTGATCCAAAGTGCACAGAGAAAATAGAGACTTTGGAAAAAAAATGCACCATGTTGCCAAACTGTTCTGGGGGGTTTGTAGGACACGAAGGTCATTGCTGTAATGGTCAGCTAAGTGGCTGCTCCAGCCCTTCTGGCTGCCGTCCTTTTGCTCTGATATGATTTATTCATATTTTCATGCAGTAACAGTTTATTAAGAAGCTGTCATGCTGCAGAGCTCTTTTATGTTATGTGAAACTGTATTTTATGGTGCATTCATGCAAGCAGGTAGCCCCAGAGATCATCTTTACGGAGAGGACAGCGCCAGCTATTATTACATTTGTCACGTTGAATCTGCAGGTCAAACGTTATGTAGTGATTAGAGTTTGAAGCTGAACTAGGTATTTGTAGGGAATGATATTATAACACATAAAAGTGCTTTCTTGTTTTCAGTATAGCTGGTTCATTACAGTCCCTCAGGGTACTTAGTTTTGTTTTGCTTTGTGTTTGGTTTTGTTTGTTTGTTTTTGTAATTTGTTTTTTCTTTTTCTTTTTCCTGGACAAAAATTCACTCCAGGTCCTCCAGGAAGGGGCAGACCAGGGGACTGAACACCAGGGGCTGAGCTGAGAACCACCCCAGTTTAACTCCAGGTGCTTCCATGGGTTTGCTGTGTGCTGGTGGGATCCTGCCCACACATTTGCACTGTGTTCACCACTGTATCAGGGTTTCTGGTTAGACCGAGCACTGCTGTTACGTGAGCCAGCCTCAACGCAGCTCCTGCTACAAGCACAGGCAGAAACATGCAGATATTCCCCAACCACCCTAAAATCGGGCATGTTGTGGGGATTCATCCGTGCAAACGTACACAAAGATGAAAAATGTCACATGCTATTGTTAGTCCTGCAAATTGAGACACAATTAAGGAGTCTTCTATAGGAGCAAGCCCTTCAGTGCAGCTAGACCAAGGGAATCACTGAGGTTAAACCTTTCTAATGCTTCCCTGAGCTGCACTCACATGGGTGTAACTTGTCCTGATCAAGCAATGCTGCTCACGCTGCCTATCAGAAAAGTTCCCCCCCAACTCCTCATTATACAGCCTCCTCCAGACCTGTTTATAATTTGAAAATAAATTGCCATGGCAGCTGTAATGATTGGGAGGAATTCTTAAGAAGCTGCTAATATTTCCCAGCTATTTCCAAACATGCAACACGGTGACAACACCCGGGCTGGGGCAGGTCCAGAGACACCTCAGAGCAGCTGTGTGCTCTTCTTCAGACCCACGGTGCAGCCTGGGGCTGTGATCCTCATGGCTCAGATGATAGAAAATGGCCCGAAAATTGTGATTAAATTGCCCTGCTGTCTCGCAGGGCTGCCCGTACAGAGGACAGTGACCTGCTCAGTCTGCTTGGGTGGCAGAGGACTGTGAGAGTGCCACCTTGTCCCCAAGCCTGCCCATAATGCCTGAAAGGGGCAACCCAATGCAACAAAATTCCTGTTTTTCCCATCTTTCTGAAGACCTAAGAAATGAAACAAGCTGGTCTAAAAATGTGCTGAAAGGCAACTGCTAAGCCTGCAACAAAATTTAGGAAAGGCACCTGTGCAGCTTCAGTTTGCCTGTTCTCACTTGTGTTGTTCTCCTGCGGCCAAACAAACCGCGTCATGTTTTTCCCCTGGTGCCCAGCATTTACCACGTCCCCCCAGGAATGAGTCAGGACCGGCAGGAAGCAGCGCGGTGTTTTTCTGCGGAAGCTGGAGCATGCGACGAGTGGGCAGGAGACGGCAGGAAGAGAGGGACCGGTCTCCTGGCCAAAGGGCTTGGAAGTTGCTGGAAGAAAGCTAGCTGTCCTGCTGAGTCACCGGCTTTGCGTTACCCCTCGTTTCTTTTTGCTTTCTTGCCTCTGCCGGCCACCACTAAAGTGGGGATAGGATCGCCCTGCCCAGAGGTGGGGATAAACCAGATGGAAAAAAGCTTACCCGGGTGCAGCACTGACTCTGCTTGCAATAATACATCTCGTGTTGAGGAGCAACTTGAGTCCACCAGGACACGTTCAGGTCTGTCCCCCAGCAGCCACATGCCAAGCCACGAGCACAACCACGGGGACCAAGCTGGTGCCTCAGGACACCGTGGGCCCTCCTGTGGGAAATGGCACCACGAGTGGGCACTCGTGTGGGTGTGGGACTGCCTGGGGACAGAAAATGTCCCGCGTCTGGCCAGTGCTACTGGAGCCCTAGCTAGCCAGGTGAACTACGTGGTCATTTCAGATCATCTCTTTGCTAAAAGAGGGAGCTCCCTCCGAGCCTGGAGCTCATTGCACAGGTGGCCGTGTAAAAGCTGTGGGACAGTATTTGCCAGGTGTCCGCATCATAATTTCATACTTGCACAAAAATCATCGCATTACACTGTTTTTGAAAAGCAAATCAAGCATAGTTTTTCTAGCAGTACCTGGCTGGAAGGGCCTCCTTCTTCCTCAGGAGACTGGCTGAGCGTGAATTCCTCCATCACCGGTTCCCGTGTGTTCATCACCTCTGTCATGCTGCAAACATCAGAACAGAAATGGAAAACTCAGCTCTGTGCTTTGGCCCCATGGTTAGTTTAAAAACAGGCATTTTGTTCTAGTAACTGTGATGCAGACTGTCCTTTCTAGTCAGCCCCCAAAATATTTCCTCATCTCTTGGGCATGTTCATTTGCTGCTGCACTGCTGTGGTCATCAGTGGAGTGACAGCTCCATTGTCCCACTACCCCTTGTCTTAATCTGCTGCATCTTTTTCCCTAAAAAAGTCCAAATACAAGTTCAACCCAAGAGCATCAAACGTGCTGCCAAGCTGTGCAGCGAGAGATGCTTGCGTTTGGGGGCAAATCCAGGAGCAGCAGCAGCAGTGATGTCCCCCCTGAAATTGCATCTGTGGACAAAAAAACACAAAAAGTTACTGTGCAAATATCAGCCCTGAATTAAATTCTCATTCTGGTTCTTCATAATGTCTTCAATATTTGCTCTTCCCAGATGTCTCTTCCATTTAGTCACGAGCCAGCACTTCTTTTTAAACTGTTAATTCCAGACACACCAGCTGTATCGGTGTCTAAGGGCCAGATTTTCGGTAGTCTTTATTTCCCTGAACGTTCGGAGAGGTGTTGAGTGGGATTTTCAAATGCATCAGGGAAGGTTTGGCACCTAAATCTCATTTAAATCAGGGATTTAAGAGCCTAAGCTGCTTATGTGCCCATTAACCATCCCCCTGTGCTGCTCGGCACCCGAGGCACTGCAGCTCCAGCCCCTGCGCTCTCCTTGTCCCGCTATCAGCATTTGGGCAGCCTGGAGCAGGGGGATTGAGCTCTGGCATGGGCTGGCATACCTGGTTGGATATCTCCATCTCTGTGGAGCAAGGATTTTCCCCACATTTGGGATTTAGAGATACAGCAATTACCCTTTCCATTGAAAAACTCAAGTAGCAGCAAGCAGAGGCTGAAGCACTCGGCGTGACCTGTAGACCAAAGGGGCCGCGCTCCTTTCAGGTGGGAATACCTCAACCCTGGGTGGGTTTGGCCCCACAAGTGCCCCCATCAGGGCCAGCAGGGGCTCGCTGCCAGGCTGCTGCAGCAGGCAGGACGTGGGCACCGGCAGCGAGCCCGCCCCACAGCAGCTCCCCTTCGGGCACGACTAAAGGCTGCCATTAATTCTGGTCCCGCTTCACGCACAAAAGCCTCCTTTGTCAAGGCTGCTCCTACTGAGAAATGCAAACTAAAACATCTTAAGGATGGCTTGTTTCAGGCTTACATTACCAATTACCCCACAAAACTGAATTTTACAATATCTGCAATTACTACAAAACCCTTCACAATGACTTTAATTAGCCGTAGCACGGAGCAGCGTGACATCGCGGAGACTTTCACTCCCACTGCATCATATTTAAAAAAGAGCACGGCAGACCCAGGAGACACTTGAGCTCAGCTGTGAGCCAGGACCCGACCCCATAGGCATCCACCAGCTTAGGGAAAAGCCCTGAAAAGCCAGCCCCAGGCCCAGCCAGTGCCGATTTAAGCAGCGTGCTTCCTGGGACACACACACAACAGGAGAGAGGAACTGGGCTACAAAACTCAGCAAGAGGTTGCACTGGTCCCTCATCTGGGCATCCCCAACCTAAACCCTCCTGGATCCACAGCACGGTAGCAGAGGGACAAATTCTGCCTGGTGGGTGGAAGTTTTGTGCTCACTGTCCCCCCTGCAATAGGGAGCAGCAGGACACCACAATCCACCCAGTCAGTAAAACACAGACTTTTTTATGGACACCTGCTTTTATTTCTGCAGCTCCAGCGTGTTGTACCATTGGGCACCTGTGGATTACAGCACCATGGGATGGGGGTCTGGAAATGGAAGACCCTTTCCCAAAGCCGTGTCCTTGTATCCTTCCCTACCCATTCCCTCCACTGTCTCCTCCCTCCGATCACCCCCAATGCTCCTGAAGCTCTTGCCTTCTTTTCCCATCCTGGTCTCTGCCCTGGTCCCAGAGGGACCCCTCGGTGTCCCCCCTGTTGCCCCCCCTGAGGCCATAGCCTGGGGAAGCACTGGGACCACCGCTCTGACTGTGTCAAAGATGCAAGCCTCCCATTTGGGATCCTTTTCAGGGTTTGGTGCCCTATCCCCTCTCATCCTGGACAGAAGGGAAAGGGACTTGGATGAGAGAGCATGTGTGTCTGCCTGGAAATAATCTCAGAGGCTTTGTGAGGGGCCAGGATTTATGAAGTCTTGGGCTTGGCTATCATGGAGAAGACACGTCCCACTGCTTGTGTCCTGGGGGTCAGTGCCTGCTAGCCGGGAGAAGATTGCTGCGGCTGCCCGCAGCTTGCTGGTTTATTTTAGCAGGCTTTCAATACATACCGAGTGCGTAAATCACTTCTCCATCCTTGTTCCACAGGACATCAGAGAGATACAGCCACACATGCACTTTCAAACGTGTCATACGAGCTCAGAGATGTTGTTAAGACCTCATGAAATTCTATTATTGAGCAATAACGGGCTCCGTGCTTCCCAAAGACCACATTACACCCCGCAGATTATTTCTAAATGACAAAGACAAATGGTTCTGGCTAGGAAAATGGTGACAGTCCTGCCAGTGTTCCAGCAGATGCCTCCGTGAATCAGCTCCCAAGCTGTTGAAGCCCAGGCCATTTGAAAAATCTGTGCAACTTAAGGGTTTGATTGAATAGGATGGCAGAAGCGATTGTACTTGATGCGTTTCAGAAAAGAACAGGGGGGCATGCAATTGGCAGAAGAATTAGGCTTTAACTGGAACAGATTAATTGTTCTCAGTCTCCACTTAGAAACAGTAAAGGAAAGCAGAAGAAATCTATATGGGCTGGGAAAGCAGCGATGCCTCTAACAATCTTAACTAGGTGTTTAACACTAAAAATAACCAGAAATGAAACAGTTGTGAATGCCACTGCAAATCAGCTCATCTGAAACTTTGAAATCACTTGTAGGACATCGCTGAAGTTTTTATGAAGCCACAGAAACTGAAAAGGGGGTTTGGTTGCTGCTTAGGGCTTTTTTTAACTGTGGTATGATTTATATGCAGGAGAGATTTTACTTCTCAGCCAATTTTGATGGAAAAATATTGAGCCATTTTTACTGCTGCTTTTATGTGACAAGTACTTATATACAACAGAAAAGTGGCTGATGCAAGCAAATTATTATAAGAACTGTATCTCTTTTAAACTGGGTTTTGCATTTATGTTCTGTACGGTAGGTGCTGATATCACCAATGACATACAGTAGCCATAGTGATGCAAAACAAGGCAATAAATAGCATTTACAAACAAAGAATAAATTCTGTTCTGGTGGATGAGTCACCTACTCTGAACCTTAAAATTCTTCTAGCAGTGAATTAAGACATGCATTTACTTCCCCTAGGTTTAATTAAGCTTAAATATACCAATTAGGAAAAAAAGAGCAAAATCTATTCTTGCTTTTCTGTGAGAAAACTGCATTCAGAGATGATTATCCTAAATGCAACCGCTACTGTCACAGGACCATGTTATTCTGATCTTTTTCCAGGGGCACGGAGCAAACGAACAGCCCACTTTCTGCCGTTTGTGATTGCACGAAGAAGGTCAGTTACATACAGAGCAATATATAGGTTGACAGGTGCTAAACCACCAACGGTGAGAAACAATGCACGCACTTTTATTTTAGTTTCTGAACAGAGGGCAAAACTGACCTGTGAAACTCCCGGTTGCAAAACAGTACTTAAATGAAGACCAGTTTCAAGATTCAAAACCATGGAGCACTTATTTGGAGAAGGAAAACAGGCGGGTTGCATGACGCAAGCAAAGATTTCCTTTAGAGAAACTAAACCACCTCTTCTCCAAAGCAAGGATCAGAGAGTAGACAAGTGAGTTCCTCTCTGCTATGATACTCTGAACAGCCTAGGTAGTCCTTTGAATGGAGCATTTGCAGCCTAGATAGTCCCATCTCAGGACCTCTGAGCAAGCTGCTCAGACTTTTCAGGGATAGAAATGTGGTGTATGCCTGTGCTGACAACAGGAAAGTGCCTTCTGGCAGCAGGACCACATAGTGCATGTCACAGCACACCAGCAAGAAGCCTATGGCCAACGGGTTCCAGCTTTGGCTGGCTGGTGGGCTCCGTGGCCATGTGCTACGTGCCCCAGCCTGGAGGATGCTCACATGCACACCAAACTGAGACTTGATCCTGTGCTCACCTCCCACACCAGGAAAGGCAACAAAGGGGATGTCTGCCCGGAGCACGAGACTCAGGGTGGGACAAGTGACAAGTATGGGGCAATGACAGAAGAAAGCTCATTACCTTCAATCACATAAATGGGTGTCGCTTCCAAAAACTGCTGCAGATGTTCACTCCTGCTGATGAAATGTTGTGCAGACTCTGTCAAATCCTAGAAGTGTCTGAAAGAGACGATATGCCAGAGTCAGAGTGTGCAAACACAATGGCAAAGCCAGCAGTGACCAGGGGGAAAGAGCACTGTAGTGAGCTCTCTACTTCAGAAAGAGGCAGCAGAAACTCCTGCTTCAGAGGGCTGGGTAATTTTCTGTATCTAATGGGAATTGATCTTGCTAAAGATGTAGCTTGTAGCATACCCAGTGAATTGCCCAGGCAATTAATGTTCCAAAACTACACAAAGCTGAAATACCTTGCAATCTGACTCTTTTTTGTGATGATAAACCTTATTCCTTAGTGTAAGCTACATTAAAACTGCTGAAACTGGGACACTCTGCTATTCTCCCATGCAGGAATTTTAATGATATTTTTGAAAATCGGAAAATAAAGATACATCTCCTTGTTTGGCAGGCTCGGTGTGCTTAGTGAGACGTGGTTCAAGACATAAAAGAATGAGATTCTTGCTCTTGAAGTGACTGGTCAACACACAAAGAAGACAAAATACACTGGAGGAAACCTAACAGGATTACATTACTGCATGTTTCTCACTGATGTCTCAGGAAAAACGATTTTTGCAAAAGTCTTCTCCAAACTGAAGGTACTACTTTGAGTGGTAGCAGGACGGGGGAGCCTGGAGAGCAGAGGTGAGGATCCCAGCAGTTCAAAATGCTATTCACTAATTTCTTATGGCTTCCCTGGCGGAAAGTCTTAGCTGAGGAGCTTGGGAAGGTACAGTGCTGAAATGTAGTCAGTATCTGGGCCAAAGATGATTTTCTGAGAAATTTGTTTAGCCCTACAGCTTGCCAAATATATATTCATGCCAACCACAGCTATTTCCTTGGATGGGAAAAAGGTGTTTTCAGTTAAATGAATGGCACTAGTGTATATATTTTATATCCTCCAGTGGTTTGGATACCAGCCCAAGTGATTAAACAAATCTACCTGCTCTGGAGGCCTTCCTACCAAGATTTATAACTCTGGATTAGCTGCACACTGATTTTTTTTCAAAAACAGAAGAAAATTGTCCATTGCATTCTGGAGTTTCTCCTCATGCCACAGGCCGTGCTTATTGCAAATTAGGGAAGCAGGAAATCGCATCTCCATCCCCAGAATCCAATTCAGGAGGGTTTAATTCTTGTCTGGCAAATTTCCTCCCCAGTGATCAAACCAACTTCAGGGAGGCTAACGTTTGCCCCTTAAAAATTCATGACTACAGTCAGACTTTGTCTCTTGTATGGAAACCAGAGAGCATCTGATACCGTGTTATCCAATACTCTGGGAAGAAGATTTTTATCCCACTACCCATTACAAAACAGCTGCTATTAAACCCATGAAAATTCAGCAAGTACTCATCTACCTTAAATCTCTCCTTTAGAAAAGATTAGATGTCATAAGAACAGTTACTGCACTGAGTCATCTCTCAGCGAAAGACAAAATGGCATACGAGAGAGCGAGCTGGGCACATCAAAGCCACCGGCTGGAAGCCACGCCAGGCCAGCTGCTATTTAGAGGTATCTGCAGCCGCCTGGCTTTTGGTATGTGAGGATCCATGTGGGATTGAATGACCGAAAACAATGCCTGTTGCTTTTCCACTCTCTGTAAAGAATTTCAGGGTTGAACTGACCCAGGACCGATCTCCCGTCCATGCGCTATGGGGCCTGCAATGTTTGAGAGGGGAGGTCGGCCCCTGGGGCTCAGCTACTTGGAAGCTTTAATGGAAAGAAAGTCACTTGAGGACTCCCTTCTTCCACCCACACAGCCGTACTTCAAAACAGAGAAACTTCTGCCTAATCAATATTCTTGGAGAGTTCAGTGCTACCAGTGTATAAAACCACCAGAATGCATTTATTCTCTGAAGAGTAAATACTCACTTTATCTACCTAATAGGTGTGATTATCTTCTTTGGCTGGCACTAGAGGAAACATTATCTAATACCCTTCCTTTTACGATACTGCTTAATCTTTTAAAAACCAGGCACAGCTATTGAGGCCATGCGGTGAGCTGTCAGGAAACAACTCTGGAAAAGACTTGCTCTGCTCACCTCTTCTTGTCCCTTCCTACCTGCATACCCACACTTGGCTGCTTTGCTGATCAGTCCAGCCTTGGCTACCTGGTGTACTCTCTCCCGATCCACTCCTCTTCTGCCCCTTAAATTCACCTTCAAACCCTCGGCCCTCCTTGGCCCCATCTTAAAACCAGCTTCTTCTCGGGCTCCGGCTGTGCAGCCTTGGAGGGGATGAGGAGGGGACCTCTCCACCCCACAGAACAGGAGGGACTGGCACAAAATACCAAGCACTGAAAGGTGCTCTCCAGGCTTCTCTATCGCTTTGGAAAGCACCTAGGGCCCATTGCCTGTTTGGGGCTTCCACACCACGAGGACACGGTCTGTCCCAGAGGGCTGGTCTCATCTCCCATGGGAGAACAGCCAGGAGCAGAAGGGTTTGCACCGCTCTTCTGGGCAGCTGTGGGGTGTGGAAAGCCCAGCCCGGCTGTTGCTCCGGGGCCATGGGTGGCCTTGCTGTGGGGAGAGAGGAGACCACCCTGCCCAGAAGTAGATGCCTTTCCATGGCATAAATTCACCGTGAATCACAAAGGAGACGTTTTTAAGGCCAACATACCTCGTCAGCAAAACAGAAAGAAGAACCAGACACCAGCTGCGATCCTAGTGGCATGCAGCTATGCCGCTTGGTCGCAGATCCCTGCCTTTCTGAGTGCTTCCTCGGGTGGGAGCAGCACCTCCACCATGGGGTCACTCGTGTTTGGAGGCGCACCCCACTCATCCCCCAGCTGCCCCATAGCTGGGGACAGCCAGGCAGCACAGGGACACGCCAGGGCAGGGCTGGTGTGAGCTTAGCGGCCATGGCGGGACGGCTTCCTCCCTCCTGCCCTCCCTGCTTCCCGAGTTAATCATTCCCCACGGAGCGCGAATGGAAATATTACGATAACAGCCTAACAATGTTGCATTGAAGGTTCACCTTGCAACAAATAAGCGCAGATAGGCAGCAGAAATCGGCCCTGAACTGCTGCTCTGTATGCGAGCGTATCACTTCTCCCCTTCTTATTTCAAAGGGGCCATCCCAGGGGCTTTGCCAGCCCCCTATTTAAGTTGTACTGGAGATGCAGTACACACCCTCTGTGATGGACTGCATGGTTCCTGGTGCTTGGGGGGGTTGTGAGCTTGCCCATGCCTCAAACAAATGGGGATCTCAGCCCTCGGCCTCCCCCCACACACACACTCTGCCCCCTTACAGGCTCTATGTAAATGCAAACTTTTCTCTGTTCGAGGAGTCTAGTCTTTGTGCTACAGAAAGAAAAGAAAAAAGAACCCTCCTATTGATTATGAGGAGAATTGGCACATGCGAATGATGTCAAACAAGAGAAGTTACGGCCTACTGCTTGACTTTTGCACACTGGAAAATTTTGACAAGTTACAACGAACCCTGCTCAGCAATTCTCAATAAACATGAGCATTTTCCACCCAGCAGAAGAAAGAGTGCTTTATTTGGGCCACTCCGCTGCAGCAGATCGGGCTGGCAGCTCAGCCAAGGTGGGTGTGTGGGTGATCTAGGACAGAGCTGCAGTTGTGGTCAATGGAGACATGAAGGGGCTGCTCACACTGTGCCAGAAGGTGCACACCCCTGCAAGGAAATGTCAGCGTTTTCTAGGGCCAGGTGCTTCTGCAGATCCAACTCTTCTATACTTTGGTCTTATAACAGTGTCCTAGGAGGATGGAGCTATGGCTTAGTCCCTGAAGTACTTCAGGCCGCATGGGTGGCCTGGACTATTCAGAGACAGGACCAGGCGCAGTGCATCTGCAGTGGGTGGGATGCTAGCTTCAGCATCTTGGCACAACCCAAACTGTGTGCTTACCTCAGTGACACTCCGCAGCCTCCAGTTTCCGCATGAGTGCCTACTGAGCTCAGCTCTTGGACCCCGCGGGTAGGAACTTGGACGGCATCTTTGTTTCCCCTGGTTGCACATTTGTAATGGATGTATTTTATGAAGTGTTGTGGGTTCCATGGGACTCGAGAAATGTAAATTACAGCATGGACCACTGAAGATAAATGTGCGTGTGTATGAACTCCTATTTAAACCTCCCACTTCTTTTTGGATGCAAATCTCTTTCCTAAGCAACTGAGAAAAGTGCGATATGTGTCAGAGTCTGGAGATTAGAGATCTGTTCTGTTCCCTCATTTCAGAAGCTCTTGTCTTCGGCCACCCACGCAGTACTTGAGTTCTGCTCTCCGCAGGCCAAAGCTGCCTTCCTCTCCTCGGCGGCGTGTGCTCTACAGAAGATGTCGATCTCTCTCAGGAAGCAGTGAGATGAAATGACTCTCGATGTGGAGGAGCAGGCATTTCAGCATGAGACACAGCACGTAGTTTGGGAGAGCGAAAAGGGGTAGGAGGCTGCTATTTCCAGACCGCGCTGCCTCCCTCCGCTAACTTCGCAGCAAGCAGCAGTTTTTGCTGTTCCTGCTCCAGAGAAGCTACTGGGGTAAATATCACCCTGGGGAATTTCTCAAACACTCGGCTGTGGACTACCAAATCTAGAAAACACGGGCTTGCAAAGGGCACCGCACTGGCAGATCACTCCAACTCAGCTTCCTCTTGTTGCGCAGCGAGGCTGAGGCTGCCTGTTGCTCTCGTACACCCCCAGCTCCCGGCGCGCTGTGACTGCACACAAATCCCACCCTTTGGTTTGTTGGAGCTGCCGAAGTTCCTACTGGCCCTGTTTGCAAAGATGAGCTAGGAACTTGACTCATAAATGGTCATTTTTTAAAAAAAAAAAAGCAGGAAAAAGAACTAAAAGGTGCCCATTTTTAACTACCATATTTTTTCAAGTAATTGCATGATTCGAGGGTGAATTTACCGAAAGTTTTTAGCAAACGATGCTTGCAATGCTGCTAGCTATGGGTGCTTCCCTGGTGGGTTTTTCTTTTCCTTTTTCCTGGCTGCTCATTTTCTTCAGCTCTTTGATCTCAGCACTAAGCTACCTGAGCTTCCCGGCGGAGGA